AAGGCCTGCGCTCGAACCCTAGAAATCCTAGAACTGAACACCCCAAGCCCCAGCAGAGGGAACCCTCCCTGGTTTTTCCCATCTACACAATTCCTAAGCCTGTAACCATAGCTGTAAACCCAAAACTTTCCCTCGCAAGTCCCATACGCTTACCTTTGGTTAGTAGAGAATGGAATAATGGTAGTAATAGTAGTTAGAACTGTACCCCATTCCTCCGTTCCCTACTAACCAAAGGTAAGTACGGGCACCCACAAAGAAACCCAGCCAGACCTCCCTTGTCATGACCACCGATGACGATCCAATGCCTCGAACAGCGGTAGTTGAAGGCTGCAGGTTTAGGGATCGAAAAGTCGCATATCGAAGCCAAAACCCTAAACCTCAACTCTAACCCCTAAAACCCTAAACCCATTGCCAACAGTCTTCCCTAGGTAATGAAACTATCAAATGCGGGTTTGGGCCTTCAAGGTTCTCATATCCCAGAGACTCCAATACCCCTCAATTAAGGAATATACCTTAAACTATGGTAGGATTCCTTATATGATTTAAGGAATATTCCTAAATTAAGCGATATTGGGGTCTCATATGGAAGCCGGAATCATTGTCAACAGTTTTCCTTGGGGCTCCCTGCGATCCCCACACCCCCAACTCTATGTATATATAGGCTCCTATAACCCTAAACCCTATACCCTTAAAGAATCCCTATATAGATCCCTGCAAAGGGACCCTTAAAGGAACCCTTATAACTACCCATGGACCTCCAGGAGTTTAAGGCTTTAGGGCTGAGGGTCTCGAGCTCAAGGTTTAGGGTCTAGGGAGGATTTTTCTGGTTGTAGACCTGCCTGGACCAGTGAGGGGGGTGGTTTCGGGTTTAGGGTGGAGGTAGAAGCCAGAAAGTTGGAACATTAGTGTCCTTATGCCCTTTAGGTAAAGTGTTTATAAGGGATCCTAGCACTAATCCTCCTAAACCCATCTTACCTCCAACTTTCTAGGATTCGCGACAAGGCGTGTTGTTCAAGGGTTTGGGCGAAGGGTTCAGGGTTGTGCATACACGCACATAATACATACCATCCCCCCACGAATACAATACCTGTTGACAGTGTAATAATCGTTGAACCAATCGTCAGCTCTGTGTCCAAGATGTCCACTGCCCAGTTGAAGCGGCTAAACCCGGGCGCGCAGTGTTTAAGATTCAGAGTCCCATTCGCATACACACCAAGCGTGCGGCAGTGAGGTTGGTTCTGCAGCCTCGTAGCAGCAGGCTGACCTGCCTGTCGGCCATGGCGTCTGCTCCGACATAAGCCGGCATAAATACGCCGGTTATCTAAATGCCAACGGCAAGCTACATTCGAGTGGTTGTCAATATTATGGTCCCTTTTTGGGTCCCCTAATATAGCACTGCACCTACTATCTAGGGTACCCCAAAATGGACCCTAATTTTGACAACTACCCATTCATGGACCAGGCCAGAACCCGCGGGTGACCATCCATAGAAACCCCCTCAGGGTGAAAATGGGATATCTCTCGATATCACAGCGAGCAGGCTCGTGGAGAAGTGCGTGATGATTATGTCCTCGCGCTTGGTATATCGGGCATCATCGCCATATAACCCTAGAGGCATCATACCCTGAACCGGCCGGTTTGGCACCCAGGCCTGCCTCTTTTCCAGTGCTGCCCAATCCACCTGCTGTCCACCAATCCTGATGGTGCGAACTGAGGACTGCACCCTTTCCGCCATCCTCATTTGGGGGTGCGCAACGCCAGGCGAGTTATGGACCGATGTATTTTGCACCAGCGCCAGCCGATAACCGATGTGAGGAGCGCCGATCTGTCTTAGTCCAGATTCACCGGTGTCCCTGTAACAGTCACGGTACCTTTTGGGGTGGAATTAAGATTTCCTGTGAGTAACAAAATAGCAATAGTAACGAACAGGAATAACGATGATAACAATTAAAATAGTACACAGAATACAAATGAGAACAGGTTGCTTTTCTTTTACAGGGATTTCTGGTTTTCGTTTTAGGTGTTGGTAAGCGGGTATCAAGGGGGTCGAACACAGGGGGAAATACTCGTTTCATTGGGATTTTGGTGACAATATTGCTAATCATTCTGGCTTCTATGTTGCACCTTGACCTACGTACCTTAAACCTGCCACCACATAATCAGAACAACTGTCTTTTGCAGAATCAGACTGAATTTCTATCCAATGATAACCCTTCCTTCATTCCACTCCCATAAACCCTAAACACTGCAGCCCTAAATCCAAAAACCCTAAATCGTAAGCTCTAAGCCCAAGCCCAGAGACTCCAAGATCCTTTGATTAAGGAATATAGAAAAAGCCAGAAAGTTGGAACATCTGTGTCTTTATGGTCTTAAGGGAAAGTATAAGGGATCCTAGCACCAATCCTCCTAAAGCCATGTTCCAACTTTCTGGCTTCTACTATATTCCTGTCATGACAGTAAGGATCCCTCGATAAATAAAACTCTATCCCTTAACTAATGGGCTTTCGGAGTCGCTGGGAAGGCCAGTAACCCCAAAACTCCTAACCCATATTCTTCTCAAACCCTAAACCCTCAAAACTTCACCCTGAAAGCGCCCAAAAGCCAGTCAGAGAAGTGCACCCTAAACCGAAAACCCTAAACCCTACATCGCAAACGCTCAACCCTTAAATGCCACGGCACCCATCGAGGGAAGCCATGGCTTTCCATGAGCAGGGAAGCGTCTTTCACTTCTTGGGGATACTATAAGGGCCTTACTAATTAGAGTAGGGTTGCTGGGCTCCTTTATAGTATAGTTATAGTCAGAAACCCTAAGGAATAAGATTGGTAATCATTTAGGCTGCTATATTAGAAGGTTTTGGGGGTTTAGGAGGGGGTTTGGGGTTTGGTAGGGTTTTAGGGTTTAGGATGGTTTGGTTTAGGGTCTAGGGTTGAGGCTTTAGGGGGGTTGGGCTTAGGGGGTTTGGGGTTTGGGGTGGAAGGCTATGTTATCCTCGACTTCAGGGATATAAGTAGTACCCTACATAGTAGGATCCTTAATTACAAGGACCCCAAAATAAGGTACCCCTACTTTCGGAAACTCCCATACTCGCCGCAAGCGGCTACTGACTGCTGGCTCCGGCCCTGAGCCCCGGGCCTCGACGCGCAACGGAGGGCAAAGCATCGAGCGCAAACGGGCAGATGGTTTTGGGCTATTGCTCAGGTACTGTCCCCATAAGAGTCTATAATAGGGCTACTATTAAAGTTCTAGTATATGTATATTATGAATACTATTCAACTATTACTGATTGGGGGGGCCGTACCCACGCTATTGCTCAGAAGGACCCCCCCACCCTGTAATAGTGACTGTAAGGATTATATTAGGGTCCATTATATTCGTAGTATACCACTATTACAGGGTGGGGGATCCTTCTAAGGTATTACTTATACCTCGGTTCCCGGCCGTCCCCCAATGATAATGGTGATCTTTTTTGCTGGTATTCAGTTTAAGTAAGGGAACTGGGTACTATTGGGGAAGCCAGACCTCTACACCCTAAGCCCTAAACCCCCAAGCCCCAGGCCCTATACCCTTAAAGCCCTTAACCCCCAGTGTGCTATTGGGGAAGCTAGTTTCTGTACGGTTAAAGGGCTTCCGGCCTTGGGTTCTGGGCTGAGTGAAACGTCCAGGGGTAATGATGGGAATGACCTTAACCACCTATAGAACCACCCTTCTAAGGAGTTATGTCAAGCGCTCCTGATCTAATCGTAGTGTAGTACACGCCAAACTCCGAATGATAACTCCACTGAATAAAGCCCTAAAGCTTTGATTGCAGGACCCTTGTAGAACCCCTTTGAAGAAACCCTTTAACCGGAAGCCTTTTCCAAATTATGAAGGCATCTATGATTGTGTTCTGATCTTCCCCCACCCCCTCTGAGAGAAAAGCCTTGACCTCAGGAGGATCTAGAGAATCGATCCTCGTAAAGGACTACGGTTTAGTAATTTGGGATTTATGGACTCGAATACTGTAGACCCCCATGGTTAGTGACCCCTTGCCTTTGACGCGACTCTAAGACGGTACTAAGGTCGACATCAAGCCCTATACCCGAGACCCCTAAACCCCTAATCCCAAGCGCGGAAACCTTAGACCTGTATTTAGGCTCCAGGATCGTAGGCTTCAGATTTTGAGGCGTGCATCTATAATACACCCGCATATCCTACACCCGCACCGTATCCCTTATAGAACCCTTGCGGTAACTCTTGACGGAACCCTTTTCGCACTTCTAACCGTACACTATGTTCAAATCATGAGAACTATGATTACGCACTGTTGCGACTGTGACTAGTATTGCTATTATTGCTTACCACCAACTGTTGTTACCAATAACCTTATTTGGGAGTTTCCGAAAATGGGGGACCCTGATCTAGTAATATCTAGTACCCTAAATGGTAGGATCCTGATTATAAGGACCCGATCCCAAAAAAAGGCACCCCAAATTTTCGGAAACTCCCATTCTCTTCAAGTCAACAATACCTGCTTGAAGGCCATGGATGCTGCTCTCCCGATCCGGCCGGGCCATAGCGGTCTGAGGTAAGAAGTTATCATATACTCCTGTGAGCGCTTAGGGACTAGACTAGGGTTTAGGGCTTTGGGGGTCTAGGGTTTAGGGGTTTAGGGGTTCAAGGTTCAGGGTTTGAGGGTTTACCGTTTTCCGGTTAAGGGCTTGGGGTGTTGGCGATGAGGGTTGAGGGCCTTGGAGTCGAGGGTTTAGGATTCGTGGCTTTGGGTACATAGACCATTGCTCTTGGGTACCTTGGACGCAATGGTAAGTCCTAAGCCCGGAACCCCATCTTGGAGGGTCGGGGACGTAGTAACTGGTGATTTTAGGGACTATTATAAGTACCATAACCCCAGTTAGGGTCCCTTTTAGGGTACTTATAAGTCTACTGACTACCTACTCACTAAGTCCCCGACCCTCCAAGTAAGCACGAAACCTAAGATCAACCTGTCCGAGTCGCCCAGGGCCTTCAGCCGCTTCTGTCGGCTGCGACCGTCGACGCCGGCGTGACCCTGACCTGGGTTCTTGTTTCCGGAAAAGTTTAGGGTTTAAGTGCTCAAGGAAGAAGTAGAGCTGCCACACAATCATACGAAGTTTTCGGTGCCAGAAGGGAGGGGGCTAGGGGCCCTTAAACATGCCTCATCTCGGCGTGATAACGGTTGGCCTCCTCATCACAGAAGGAATGAAGATGAGTTTTATGGGGTCACTTGGTCGTTCATGGGTAGTTATGTGGGGTGGTAAAAGGATAGCGAAAATTGCAACCCAAAATAGGGGACTTGTAATGCCTTGTAACCCACTTAAAACTACCCGTGAACCTGCAAGTGTGAGCCCCAAAAACTTAAGGCTGGACTTTGAAGTAACAAGGGAGAAAACAGTATAGACTTTTATTCCATAATGGCTCGTTTAAGGAACAGGTACCCCAAAAAAGTATTCAAGTATGGCACTCCAAACCCAAGCTACTCAGCTATGCGACGCAAGGCGAAACCTCCCCAGCCCTACCTCAACACCACGAGCAACCAAAGCAAGGCAGAGACTTCAAACCTCCTTACTTATAAGGAATATGCTTGAAATCACAATAGGGTTCCTATTATAATTTTCTCACAGGCCCAAAACCCAAGGCAATAAAAGTTGAAACTTTCAGAATCGACCACCTTATAAGAACCCCAAAAGTTGAAAAGTTGAGTTTGCAGCCAATAAGTTTTAAGGGTGTTTGAAATGCCTTGCTTCAGGGGTTTTGGAGTCTCTGGCTCACTAACAGCCCAGAAGAAGTACATGATCGTGAGGGTTTAGGGTTTAGGGGGACCCCAAGAGCTAGTCCGGCTGGTTATTGTGACTCCCCCTGCAGCTCTCTCTATCTCTCCTTCCAACGTTAACTCAAATACCAAACACAAACCACATGTAGCATACCCAGAAAGTTGGAACATAGGACCACTGCTGGGATTTCCTTAGACTCTACATGCATTTTCAAAACCCTACTTTGCGGTTGTAATGATCGCAATCATGCTGGTGCATAGCAAGCAAGAAGGAGTCATCCAAAGGTTGGAGGAGCCTTAGCCCAGCTGGCAATAGAACCAGCTGCAGTCGCTCTGCTTCTTGCAAAAACGACCTTCTGTGTGTGAACATGGCAGCAATACAAGTGAAGGATAGGCTGCATGTCTGGGAAACTCGCATGGCTTGTCTCGATATCCTGCAACATATACAGCATGTCGTTCGGAAGTCCATGACAGCGTGCGTGGTCTGAGTCTGCTTTGTCATCCACCGCCCGTTGCCCAACAAGAATTGTGGTAGATAGGGTTGGGCACTTGAATCGTCGCATATCGCTGCGACGTACGTGCAGCACAGCCAAGCCAATAAAGGATCCCTTGAAGGAATAACCCTTTACAGGACCCCTGAAGGAACACGGTCTAGACAATAAAGGACGCCTTGAATGAGGCCTGAAAAAAATCTGTAGGACCTAGATATCTACCAATACTATTTTGGGGGTTCCTTGTTCTAATCATAGTATCATGGGCTCCAAGACCCTATTGTGATCATGGGCTCCAAGACCCTATTGTGATTATTTAGGCCCCTATCATAGAACCCTACTATCGATCCCCTATAGACCCCTTTAAAGGATCCCGTAAAGGAACCACTATTCCAACCATTAAGGCCCTTCTACTACTATAATAGAATCCTTATAATAACCCTTTAAGGGAACCCAGCAGGACCCCCTCCCAAAGAACAAGAGGAATGAGACCGCTGCTGATCAGGAAATCGATGAGGCAAACGCTCCCGCACCTTTGTTGCATTTCGGGATTACTTAGAAGATCATGGGGCTAAGTAAGGTCGTAAGAACTGAGAGTGCTAGGGCCTTTTAGTGCTGCAGTGCTCAAATCTTACAGTGTCCAGCATGCGTAGAGGACTAATTAACCTTTGGGAGTGTTTAGGGCTGTATGGAATCATGCTGCCCCAAAATGGTTAAAGGTCACCTACTCTACTACTCAGTAACTCTACCCTAAACTCAGCTTGAGCCCTTGAACCCAAGACCCAAAACCCTGAACCCTAAAACCTCAACTCCAAACCCTAAACTCAACCCCTAAACCCAAAACCCTAAGCCCAAAACCCTAAGCCCAAAACCCAAACCTCTAGACCCGCAAACCCAAAACCCCAAACCCAAACCTCTAAACCCTAAACGCTTCTAGAATCCCTATAGATCCCTTTAAAGGGGCCGGTTTGAGGCCTTGGGGTTCAGGGTCTTCGGCGTCCGCCTGGCTTCAGGCTCAGGACCCCTGAAGGGTGCTATTGCCGATGATATAAACCCTGCATTACTGATAAGAAGGACTCTACCGTTGTTCCCGTAATTTAGGTCCTTGAGGTAGATAACGATGATGACGACCCTAACAATCTAAACTCTTAACCCTGAACCCCTAAGGCCCTAAACCCTACTTGGAGGGTCGGGGACTTAGTAAGTAGGTAGTAAGTAGACATATAAGTACCCTAAAAGGGACCCTACTTGGGGTTATGGCACTTATAAGTCCCTCAAATAACTAGTTACTAAGTCCCCATAATACGGGCTCTACCATAAGTCTCACTTAAGGTAATGCTGGATTTATATCATCAACCGTAGGAGGTACTGAAATAGGTTTCCAGTTCAGGATCCTGCAGCTAGTTTCCTGAGTGGCCCTTTTCTAACAAAGGTACCCTTTTCCTATTGTTCGGTCTTAACAAGGGGACCTTAAACTGAAAAGGGCAAAAGGGTACTACTCAGGAACCTAGACACTGACCTTGCAAGCTTAAGGGTTAGGGTCCGATGTGCGACTTGCCATCAGCCAATCTCATGGGAATGTACAGCTGTAGGCTTGGTCTTCTGCATGCTACACAGGCCACTCTATACTGAACTTAGACCCCTAGCAAACATGCAATTTCTGCTGTTTCTTAGGGATCGTAGGAACCAAAAACTAAATGACGCTTCGAAGTACCCCTTAGTACTGCTATGACCCCTGATCGTCGAAGTACTGTCAAGCTGTGCCGAGACGCGCTGCAGCAGCATGCAACCTCGGCCGCGTTCAATAATTTTGGGGCCGTAGTAATTAATTAGAATAGGCTTTGGGGGCCCATTATACTATAAACATAATTAATAAGGAACCCACCAAAATGGTATAGGTAATTGTTAAAGCCCCTATATTACTCAACCAGAATCCTGATTCAAACGTCCAACCTGAAAGGGCAGTTGTACACAACGTGTGTTCCCTGCACAGCCGCAAGGCAATAGCCAAGACCGTCCGTCATAGAACAAGCCCCTTGATGGAACTCTGGACTTTGACGTACCCAGAGACTCCAAGGAATATGCCTTAAATTATAGTAGGATCCCTAATATGATTTGAGGAATATTTCTTGATTAAGGGATATTGGAGTCTCTGGGCAACCAGGGTGAAAAAAGTATAGACGTTTATTTCATAATGGTTCCCTGAAGGAACAGGAACCAACAACAAGTATTCAAGTATGGTACTCCAACGCCAGGTAGAACAAGCCCCTTCATGGAACTCGGCAGCCCGAATAGTTCGTCGTACTGTTCAGGGTTCCTGTTCATAAAATACCAAGAATCCAAAACCCAGTTCCAATGATCAAGGCCCTTGCGGTAGGCTTTGTGACACGGGATCGAGGCGGACCCACTACGTTGAGGGCCGGTTGCTTTTTGGATTAAGGCAGAGTTTGCGGGGTATGAGGTGGAGGGTATATATGGTTGAAGGGACAAGTTGTCAACTGAGATGTCCTTTAAGCCCTTCGAAAATTATTTACTATTATGGTTCTCTACAGAATAGTAGGGGAAATTTAACAAAGATCCCAAAGGACAACCCAGTCAACTTGAGGGTGTAGGGTGCAGGAGGTTCGGGTTGGATTGTCCCCAAGCTGCACTTCGGAGCGGGCAAAGACAGGCATGCTTTCAGCTGCCGCGGCCGCATGCATCGATTCTAAGGCCTTGAATCAGAGATCGCAGGGTCCGAACGCTTTCCAGGGAAGTCTGCAGAAATGACATGCGAGGCGTCACAGCTTCCCCATTGGTCAAGTTTTGCAGCATCTGCGCAATTTTCCAGTGCCCATTTGACTTCGCGGAATCCAGAGCTGTGCGGCCGTTGCTGTCACAGAGATTCCGGTCAGCACCGCATCTTAAGAGCAGCGTCACGCTGTCGTCTGAGCCGTGGATAGCAGAGTAGATCAAGGCTGTCTTGCCACTCTGGTTGCTTGCGTCGGGGACAGCCCTGGCTTGCAACAAGCATCGCACACAGAAGCTCTGCTTGTTCGCGGCTGCGGAGATGAGTGCCGTGTTGCCTTCATTGTCAGTCAGCTCTTTATCAGCGCGTGATTTCAGCAGCAATTGCACACCGTCGAGGAAGCCATGCTCAGCAGCAGAGATCAGGGCTGTTTTGCCAAAGCGATTCCTTAGTTGCTGAGTTCACAAACCCCCCAGAAGTGCACACTTTCAGCTTTGTAGTGGGTCCTGAAATCCAAAAAACTGAAAATTTTTCAAAAAAAACTATACCATAAACCCTAGACTTCAAAGTGTATCCACTCAGCTACTAAGATTCGCCACCTCCATGCCCACTCTCGCCTCCAGGAGCAAGCCGACCTCCGCTGCCCGAACAGAGGTGAGTTGTTTTCGTTGTCTAAAGATGGTAAGGTTCAGGGTTTAGGGTTTAGGGCTTAGGGTATAGGGTTTAGTATTTAGGGCCTTATGCAACATTTGGGAGTTTCAGAACACGGTCTCCAATGTTAATGGCCCAAAAAGACTGGATCTGTAGCACAAGGACTACCGAGCGAGGGCACACCTAACTACCACAACAATCTACCAACACCCCAAAGCCCTAAACCCCGAACATTCAAGCTCAAACCCCAAACCCCTAAACCTGACCTTAAACATTGTTTGCAAGAAGTAGCCGAGTTGCCTAGAAGCTCCTAGACCAAAATAGATATTGGTTTTAATACCCCTTACTGCTTCTCCCTTACGAAATTGAGAAAACAAGTCCTAAGGAGAAGCCTGAACCTAAACCCCTATAGCACGCCTACGAAAGCTATAGAGGAAGCCCTGATAACGAGGGACCTTGGACTTAAGATCATCATGACACCAACATGTTGAATAACCCTCTGTTGTACTAGGAACCAATACCACCCAAGGAAACAGAACTACTGAACATCCTAGGGTTCTAAAACACTAATCCCAAACCCTGAAATAAAATTGAACAAGTTCCCAAGCACCTAAAACCCCTAAACCCTAAACCCCAAAAGGATACCAACACTTTAAACCCTCATTCTAAGCCTGCAAGGACATTTGAACGCTTCCCTAAACCTTCAACCCCTAAACCCCAAACACCCAAAGGAAGTTAGTAATACTAAGCTTTCCCATGCATTGCCACCCAGGTCGCGATAATGGAGCAAAAGTTACCCGCTGCAGCTCTGAGGGCTGTGTTGCCCTCCTTGTCGACCTACCAGCTAGGTTTTAGGGTTGAGGGTTTAGGGTTTTAGGGTTTAGAAACCTTGGGTCTTTTTTAGGGTTCCTTATATGAATCCTACACCTAGGCTAGGATGCCCAGTAACCTAGGAATAACACGGGCTCCCTTTTTGCTATTGGGTAACTTTAGAAGGAGCCCTAGGACTGCAAAAAAGGGAACCCTAGTACAAGAGATGGGGGCCCTGTTCACATCCAAAACCCAGAACTCTAGTCTAAAATCTATAAACCCTAGGCCCTAGAACCCAAGCCCTTGCCTCACGGAACTCCTGTAGTAACCCTTATGGAAAGCTATAAACGGCTTTGAAGCCCTTCTGAAGGGCCCCTTGAAGCCCTGAGCCACACCCTCCCAACATTACCCTAGTTGCTGAGTTCATATCAGCCCCGAAAAGTGGACACTTTCAGTTTTATCGTGGGGTAAAATTATCACAGAATGTGTAAAGTGTATCCACTCAGCTACTAAGTTACACATGTTCTCTAGGCTGTTCAGTAACCCACTGGGAAAAAGTATATATTTTCTTGGCTTCTTATAATAGGAACCCAGAAACCTAAAGGCAAAAAAGTGTACCATGAAACAGCCTGGTTCTTCTGAACCTCCCGCCTTGGTCTTATCTGCTCCTGCCAGGAGGAGCAAGCGCACCGCTCCCACAGAATCCGCTTCAGCCGCCACAATAAGCGCCGTCTTACCTTCCTTAGTGTAGGGTTCTTAGGGCTCTTAAGGTTTAGGCTTTAGGGTTTAGGAGTTTTAAGGGGTTTCAGTAGGTTTGGGGGTCATGGTTTAGGGGTTACGCGACCCCAAGAAAGTTGGAACATGAATTTGGGATGACTAGAGAAGGATCCCTCATACTTTACTTTAGGGGCATGGGGGTCAGCATGTTCCAACTCTCTGGCTTGCACTACCCTAAACCCTAAACCCCAAAACCCTACACCCTAAAACCCTAAACCCAACCCTGTAGGGTTCTTCGGGTTTAGGGGCAGAAATCTGGTGGTTTCGGGTTCTCGGGTGTAGGGTTACTTGGAGGGTCGGGACACTTAGTAAGTAGGTAGCAAGTAGACTTATAAGTACCCTCAAAGGAACCCTAATTGGGGTTATGGTACTTATCAGCCCCTAAAATAACCGGTTACTAAGTCCCCCGACCCTCCAAGTAAGAACCTACCTTCTTAAAAGACCAGCATTCTCATGTCCAAAGACCTATCCTTGGCAAGGTAGGCCAAGACGGGTAAAGACGGGGGTTTGGGGGCAATGGAAGGTTTTCGGAAAAACAATATACAGCCAAACCCCTAACCCCAAATGGACCGTCTAAGCCGTAAACCAACGCAAAGACCTGCCTATAGGGCCCAAAAAAAACACTTAATCAAACATTCGCATAGGGATGTCCCATTTCCCTCCCTTATAATGAAGCCCAATAAGCTAGGGATATCACCATAAAAGCATTTTGGGTCCCTAAGCCTAGCGTCATGGTTCGCTGCATCGATGGACGCGCTTGCTGCCAAGAGCAGGCCCATCAGGTTCACGCGATTGTTCTCCGAAGATAGAAGTAGAGCCGTGTTCCTTGGCTCTCTTCTTCAACAACCAGGCCCGAGAAAGTTCAAACTTTTTGGCAGCGACTAAATATGTCAAGCCAAAAAGTTTAAAGTTCTCCCATAAGCCAGCTGAGTCTTTGTTTAAGCACGGAAAGGCAAAAAATATTGAAAATCTACTCTGACAGTGTTCATGTTCCCCTCAACCTAATATCGGGGGTTTCTGGGGCCCATTATACTATAAATATAGTAAGTAACCCCCAACATGGTATTGGCTCTTATTTAAGCCCGTATAGTAGGCTCAACCTGCCCCCTAAACCCTTGTGTAGAAAAAAAGGACCCGAATCCAAAGGCAAGTGCACCAAGGCACCCTTCACTGTCTGCCATGTCCTTGCTTGCCGAGATCCAAAGACAAGAACTGCACAGTTCAAAGCGGGTTTCTGCAAACCCTGAATCTTGCTTGGAGGGTCGGGCGGCTTCGTAACTAGTTATTTTAAAGGCTTGCAATTAAGTATCATAGCCCCAGTGAGGGTCCCTTTTCGGGTGATCATAAGTCTACCTACTACCTACTTACTAAGCGACCCTCCGAGTAGATGAATAGGACTTTGACGTAACCAGAGAGAAAAAAGTATAGACTTTTATTTCATAATGGATCCTTTAAGGAACAGGAACCAACAGAAAGTTTTCAAGTATGGTACTCCAAACCCAGATGAACCCAACCCCCGGACTGAGTTCTCTGACCAAAAACCGCCGGAAATGCCACCAAATCTCCACGTCAGCACGGGCTGACAGAAGTATCTTCAGGATCTGCCCAAAGCGCTGCTCCGACGCCGCAAGGAGGGCCGTCCCTCGGCTTTGTGGGGGGGGGATGAGGGTTGAGGGGTTTAGGGGTTTAGGTGGTTTAGGTTTGGGGTATACAGGGTTTAGGTTTAGGGGTTTTAGGGTTTAGGGTTTAGGATTTAGGTTTGAGGGTTTAGGGTTAGGGTTTAGGTTTAGGGGTTAGGTTTAATGGTTTAGGGCTAGGGTTTTGGTTTAGGGTTTAGGGTCAGGGTTTAGGTTTAGGGGTTTAGGGTTTAGGGTTTAGGGTTTCTGCCACCTTCTCCAAACACAAGGTAATTAGCACAAAGGAAAAAGACACACTATCAATACGCAGGTAAGAACTGGCTTTAGGTAGTCAGCACAAGGTAATAATTAGTAAACAAAAAGGAAAAGACACAGTAGACCAATACCATAATAAGTTGCATACTAGATTAAACAAAGTGGTCAAAAGGAACCCCACTACTGGCACATTCCTGAAGTATCGGTGATTAGCATTGGGCTCTGGGAACCCCCGGAGGCTCATTTAAAGTAAGTAATAAGTAAGCTGTTACGTCTTATAACAAACCTCATAGTATCAGCAACCCTTAACTAACCCTTAACCGTTAACCCGCTACCCCCCTAAACCCGAAACGGTAGCCCTCATTCGGCGCTCCTGAAACTCCAGAGATGAGAGGCTCCCAAACCCCTTAACTCCGGAATCTGCCTTCTATCATATTGGGGCTCCTGGTGGCATATAACTTCAGATATGTTCATATTCTTAATTAAGGAAGATACCTGAAATTCAGGTATGATTTAAGGTGTTTGTCCTTCTTTAAGGCTCACTGGCCCAAAACCCAAGGAAATAAAAGTTGAAACTTTCAGAATCGACTACCTTATAAGCACCCCAAAAGTTGAAAAGTTGAGTTTACAGCCAATAAGAAGGGATTTTGGAGTCTCTGGGAAGTCGGGGCTCTGCCCACATGGTTGGCCAGGTTGGCGCGAGCGCCGGCCTCTTAGCGTGCTTCAGGGCTAAGGGTTTCGTGGTTTTTATTTTATTTTTATGGGCTCCTTTCCACCTGCATGTACAGCTAGAACTCCTATACTAGGGGTTTCGTGCTTTAGGGTTTAGGGTTCGGAGGATTAGGGTCTAAGGTTTTGGGGGTTCGGGGTGCAGGTTCTAGGATTTTGGATTTAGGGCCTAGGGGTTCGAGGTTCCGCCCAGACTAGAAGCCAAATAGGGCTTGACAGTTTTGCAACGTGTTGAAGAAACCTTTTGGGTATGCATAGACTCGTATAGACTTTTAAGCGTTGGACTTTTGGGGGTCACTGAAAGACCGTGGTGCCGGGATCCTGCTACCAAAAGGGAGTCATGTGTTATGCGATTTTGGTAGGGTTTAGGGCTTTTGGGGTTTATGCAAGCAGTCACTGCGGACGATCCGGGCGAGATGGGTTTTTGGGGTTTAGGGGTCTAGGGTTTAGGGTTTTGGGTTATTAGGCTTTAGGGCTTTGTTACGCTAATTTGTTTGCTTCGTCTGCTGCCTCCAGCAACAAACTCGCGGTCTTCAAGCGGTCCTCCTCTGCTGCGCAAATAAGAGGAGTGTTCCCGGCATTGTCGGCCAAGTCTGTTTGGGCTCTCCGGCTCAGGAGCACTGCCACGATGTCATCGTAGCCTTTTCTAGATGCCGCCATCAACGCTGTCGTGCCGTTGTGGTTCGTTGCGTCTAGGTGAGCACCAGCCTCCACCAGCAATTCTACGACCTCTAACCTCTTGAAAGCACACGCGAGAATCAAGGCAGTGTTGTGGTCTGCGTCAGAGAGGTCCTTATCAGCGGCAGCAGACAAGAGCAACGTAACCTTCGTTGCCGAGCTCATATGTCCGAAACACTCACCAGTTCACTTCTAAGCAGCTTCGACTATCCCGAAATGTTCACATTTGAAGTTTAATAGCTGGACTGCTAAGAAACAGCTTCAGCGTGGCCATTTGCTGCAGCGGCAATCAGAGGTCTGTTTCCAGCAGCATTGGATGAATCTGGATCCTGTGGTCTCTTCAACCTGGGATACCGTTGATTTACCATGATATGAAACCATGCTACCGTTCTACTGTTGTTGTTGCTGTTTTGTCTGGTTGTTACTATTTCTATTATCTCGATTGATAAATACTCGGACTATTAACATCACTATTGTAAATATGACTCTTCTTCTTGCCATTGCTGTCACTATCAAGTTTTGCTGTGTTTTTAAGATTAATGATATTACGCTTGTTCTTATTGTTGTTGCTGTTCTACCATGTCCATTTTGTTGCGGCTCTTACCGGCAATCCTGCACCCAGCTTACCACGGATCCTTGTCAGGATAACTTGCGTCGGCAAGTGAGTGCCCCCAAAAGAACATACAGTAAGCACAAGCAGTCTACAAGGATATCCCACCTGATTGGGCTTAACAACACTGGGATGTATGCGGGAGATCTCTATGCTACCGTTTGCTTGTTCGATTTTGGAGGCCCTTAACCCCCAAACCCCAAAACCTAAACCCTAAACCCCAAACCCGAAACACCAAACCCTAAACCCTCAGGTCCTAGCGGCAGGTCGTGCACCTTCTGCAGATTGCCAGAATGAGCGGAGAGTACGAGCTCATTCATCTGCTCCTGGATTCTCCAGTCGGTCCCACGGCTGATGATGTCTATCTTGCATTACCCAGAATAAGGAATGTACCATAATTCCCATACTTTGGGGTCCTTAAGGTATCGCAGGACTTATTGTCATCAGCAGTATAATCCAAGGAAGTCTAAACTCCTTAGTTAAGGAATATACCGTAAGTCATATTAGGCATCACTTAGTTGCTGACTTCACAAGCCCCAAAACATGCAAACGTGTCGTTTCATAGTGACAATATTATCCAACAAAAGCGTGAAGTGTATCCACTCAGCTACTAAGATTAGGCTTCTTATTATAATCTAAAGTAGAATATTACCTTCAAATATATGCTTTTTTGGAGTATCTGGGAAAGAGGAGGGTACTGCACCCTTTTTCCTACTATCACCCCTAAGCCCCAAACCCTGATACTTAAACCCTAAACTTTGCCCAAACCCCCCAAACCGTAAACGGGAAAAAAGGCACCGCGGCCTCAAGATCCCAGCACCCCCTAGTGCAGGAATGCACCCACTACCCGGAGAGCCCAATACCCCCTAGTGCAGGGTTTAGGGTTTAGGGCTTAGGGTTTAGGGTGCAGGAATGCACATTAAACCATACATGATACCAAGACCCCCGCCTACAATTTGAGGTCTGTTCCTCAATGCAAGGACCCCTCTTGGAGTTTCATGGCTAGGTGTAAGTGGGGTTCTAAGCCTTCTGATATGGCTTGTATTTAATTACAGTCACCCGACTTGTAACCACACTTTAACTTCCCATGAACCTCCAAGCAAAGCCCTAAATCCTATACACTTGTAGAATCCCTATAGACCCCTTGAAAGGGACCCTTAAAGGAACCTTTATGACTCCCCATGAACCTCCAAGTAGACTCTAAATCAAACCTAAAGCTGCAAAACATAAACTAATCGCAGACGGGCTCTCTGGGTATAGGGAGACCACTATACTATACCCTTAGAACCATAGTAATTCAGAGCCATAGTAACACTACTAATTGTTTCAATATCTCTTGGGTTTTATACGAACAAAACTGGAAAATAATGCCTAAGGAGACTAGATTTATGACCACCTTATAGAATCCCTATAGATCCCTTTAAGGGGACCCTTGAAGGAACCCTCAGAACTAGCCATGAACACCTCCAATAAACCTTAAACCCTAATCCCTAAAGTCTAAAGCCCGATACCTGATCCTTAAACCCAAAACCTTAATCCCAAAACCCTACTTGGGGGGTCGGGGGACTTAGTAAGTATAGGTACCCTAGAAAGGGACCCTAATTGGGGTTATGGTACTTAAAAACCCTCAAAATAACCAGTTACTAAGTCCCCCGACCCTCCAAGTAATCCCTAACTGGGTTGTGCTTTAAACCCTTTGGAAATTATTTATGAATAGGTTCCCTTTACAAGGAAATAAAGAAAAATTTAAAACTATCCCAAAGCACAACTATTGTCAAGTACAAGGAGACCAAGGCTCTGGGGTCGTGGCCGCAAAGCTGAGTAAGACCAGCTGCAGGTCTTCTGTCCCCTCGAGGCTGGCTTCGTCCTCTTTCGGAGGCTGAGGTGGGGTTTAGGGTTTAGGGGTTTAGGGTTTAGGGGTTTGGGGTTTGGGGTTTGGGTTTAGATTAGGGCGTTTGTGCTTATAGGGGTTTTACGATTTCTTGGCGGGCGTCGTCCTCTCAGGGCAACTTCAAAGGGGATTTTAAGGGTTCCTTTAAAGGGGACTATAAGGGTTGCTTTACAGGGGGACTGTAAGCGTTCCTTTAAACGGCCTTATAAGGGCTTTACGTCCTCTTGAAAAAGGCGCTTACATAAGGAAGGAATATACCTCTAAGGGTTCCTTAGAGACCTCCTTAGCGGGGCTCCTGAAAGGGATCTGTAAGGGTATTATAAGGGAATTTGGGCATATGCCTTAAATCATATTAGGGTTCCTACTGTAACTGAAGGTAGATTCCTAATAGAGCCCATGTGCATCCCTTGAAACTAGGGAAACCTAGGGGCTGAGTACCCTAGGTGATGTTACCACTATGGGCTATTAGACCCTAAAGATCCCTGTTAGGACCCTATTAAGGGTAGATTAAGGTACCCATAAGGTCTAATAGCCCATAGTGGTCAGGGATCAGAAAATCAGGCTGTCAGAATCTAGCTTCCTGAGTGGCCCCTTAACAATGAAGGCACCCTTTTTCCTACTCTCCAGATTTAATGAGGGGACCTTACAATAAAAGGGCAGAAGGGTATTACTCAAAAACCTAGGAATAGGACAACAAAAGCTTGGAAGTTTGGGTCTTGCACCATGAAGCGTCCTCGAGATAGCTTCCCTTGCACAGCAGTCTCTGTCTGAAAGGCGATACGCCGCAGTGGCTTTGCCTCACTGGCCCAAAACCCAAGGAAATAGAAGTTGAAACTTCCAGAATCGACTACCTTATAAGAACACCAAAAGTTGAAAAGTTTAGTTTACAGCCAATAAGTTGCAACATCTGCTTCATCGCAGCCAGATCAGTTAACTGCTCGTCAGAGACTTCCAGCAACCTAAGCTGTTCAGGAACCTACTGGGAAACCGTACATACTTCTTTGGGCAAGTTTTATAATACTAGGAGCCAAAACCAACAAAACGAACAAGGATACTTCTGAATGTCCTCGGAAGCATGTCATTGAATATGGATCCCCAATCTGGTAACTTGAACCAAAGATCCTTAACAAGATCCCAGCAGCTCATCACCGGAAACTTGCCAAATGTGAACCATCGGGCCGAGGTGAACAGGAAGTGTCCGCACGATCCGGCTAGAAGGCTTCTATGAGTCGACATCCAGTGCCACGAACTCTCAAGCGAGCTGCTGTAGCAAGCTTCGCCTGTGCTGGTCTACGGACGTGTGCCTTGCATGCAGGCTTTGAGGTGTAGGGTTCAAGCTCTAGGCGTAAAGGGGTTCAGGGTTTGGGGCAATGTTTCGCATGAGCTTCTCTGATGGGAGTTTCATAGGGGGTCATGAAACGGAACCATGCTCCGCATCTTGAGCCTTGCAGACATGCCGAAGCTCCAAACCGCAAAGCAAACCCCAAATCCACGCAATGCAAAACCCTAAAGGGTCCATGTACTCATATAGTATCTACATTGGCCTTAATGTAGTCCCTATATAGGTACTTTGGGGCTCCTGTATCTCTTTAGGGAAACCTTTCCACTCGAAAACTTGAATTCCGGGCCCAGACCCGAGATGCAGAGTCTCCGGCCCCCTTCAACCCCTCAACGGTCAGCGACCACCAAACATCCCGAACCCCAACACCTCACAGGAGCTGTGTCATAAGGACCCTTTAGGAGGGTGGGGGGGGGGGGCCTTAAAACCAAAAAAAGGCCTACTTGAGGAAGTATAGTCTCCCACCCCCCCCCCCCCATGTACCCCTAAGGGTCCCTATGACTGTGCCGCTACCCAACGGAAGAACCCAGAGAGCCCAATACCCCTTAATTAAGGAATATAGCTTAAATCAAAATATGAAGCCCCTTATGATTTAAGGTAAATTGCTTACCTGCGGCTCTCAAAACCCCAAATGGGTGGTTGTCAAAATGATGGTCCCTTTTTTGGGTACCCTAAACATTAGCGAATATACCTTAAATTATAGGGGCCATAATGAAATGATTTAAGGTATATTCCTTAATTAAGGGGTATTGGGTTCTCTGGGAGAGTCCCTTTTGGGTTCCCTAAATATTAGGTGCCGTATTATAATAAGGAACCAAAAAGGGACCATAATTTTGACAACCAGCCCAAATTACCTCAGCCTCTGAACTCAAAACGTAACCACAAACCCAAGGCCCTTGACGTGACACTCACGCGCCAAACCCTAAAATCTGCTGTACCTGCATGTATGTATGTATATATATATATATATATAGATATAGATATAGATATAGATATAGATATAGATACGTACATACATTGCACTACATGACATTACATTGCCTTGCATTTCATTGCAATGCATTGCATTGCACAGCATCGCATAACATAGCAAAGCACACATACATACATACATACATACATACATACATACGTACATACGTACATACATACATACGTACATACATACATGCATACATGTGAACACATGGGCCACACATGTGTATATCCACCGATACCTAGTGGCTGTCTTTTCAGCTACAAGAAATCCACACCCTACCCCTGTGTACCTAAACACTTAGAGTGACTTCGACATGAACACGCTTCAGGCAGGGGGTTCGGTCCATCGGGGTGGGGATGAGGTGTTCGTATAACAAGGATCCGTAAAAAATACAACCCTAAACCCTGAATGCTGCTAGATCCTAGAATTTAAAACTCAATGTAGGTTTCAATATACTCTGCAACTGCAAGAGTTCTCAGCCAAGTGGCAAGTCGACAACGCCCTCCTCCTCGTCCTCGCCACCTGCAGTTCTAGAAGGGCTCTTATACGACACTAAAACTTACCCCAAACATATACAGTTTTAGCCGTGTCTTGGGGATTATAATAACCAAAGATTCAAAAAATGATTTCAAATCTCCCCGAAGTTATGGGCTTTGGGGCTTTCGGGTCGCCCTTAGCCACCAAGAAACCCCAGTTGAAGGATTGCAGGCAGAAACCCCAAAAACGAGATGTGAAAAGTGGGGAAATCCAAAAGGGACCCCAATAGGGGTTATGATATATACTTATAAGTCATGAAATAACCAGTTACTTACTTCCCCGACCCTCCAAGCAAGGAATAGCGTCATATTCCTAAATGCTCACGCTTCTATAGCCTCTTCACGTCTCCTCTTTGGCCTTCAGGCCAGTAACCCCGAAGAGTATGAACCCCAGAACCCGAAAGCCCGAAAGTCGGAGAGCCCTGTATCTTACTTGGATGTTCATGGGTAGTTATAAGTGGGGATATAAGTAGGGCAACTGTACTTATAACCCATATTACGGGACTTATGACCCAACTTATAACTACACATGAACCACCTCCAAGTAGAGGCTGAGCACCCTAGCCCAAAAACAGCTAAACCTCTTCAATTATGGGAGGATTATATACACCCCAAAATGTTAAAATTTACCTACCCAGCCAATAAGCCATAACCCCAGAAAGCCACGAGCCCGGGCAAAGAATGCTAAACCCGAAACCCCCAGCCCCCCTTTCAACAAAAACACACACCAACACACACTCAACCCCTTCGGAGTATCGGTTTCTGTAAAGGGTTGCACTGGGGTCCTATAGAGGTTTAGGGTTTAATGTAGGAACCTGATTAAAAAACCCTGGGCGTATAATCCCAAAATAGTAGGATTCATATTCGGAACCCTCACAAAGGCCCAAGGTTTTTCCATCACCTTCCTACATTATCTGTTTTCACCCTACTTATAACCCACTTATAACTACCGATGAACCTCCAAGTAGGGGTTTAGGCTTTAGCGGTTTAGGTGTCGGCAACCCTGGGCCTTTTATCCCAAAACAGTAGGGAACCCGAATAAAGGCCCAAGGTTTCTTCATCAGGTTCCTACATTAGGGTCTTAGGTTTCGGCAACCAAAACAGGGAAGTGGCGAAGGGCCTGCTGGCATGGGCTCTGAAAGATCTGGAAGTACAGGCACCTGTACTCGAGCGTTTTCTTCTAGAGGTGGTTGTTGTGGTAGTAGAAGTAGAAGGAGTAGACGTAGTCGTATAGTAGTAGTAGTAGTAGTAGTAGTAGTAGTAGTAGTAGTAGTAGTAGTAGTAGGACTAGTAGAAGTAGAAGTAGAAGAAGGGGAAGAAGTAGTAGAAGTAGTAGAAGTCGCTCAATCGTAGAAGTAGTATTATAGTTATAGTAGTAGCAGCGGTAGCAGGAGCAGGAGCCTCGGAGGCTCGGTCGCAATAACAAGGGCCTTACTAATTAAAATAGGGTTTGGGGGCCCATTGTACCAAATAGGGCTCCCCACAAAAAGTAGAGGTAATTATTAAGGCCTCTATTATAGTACCTCAAACCCTTAGCGAAAGTCCTCAGTTGATTCTGAGGTAAGCTTTTGACACTGAAAAGCGAGCGAGTCTCTTAAGGAAGGCTGGGTCGCACCTCAAACCCTGAGCAAAAGCCCTCTGTTGATCTTCAGGGCAGCTTCGAAATCTGAGCTTCCCTTAACCCCAAACCCAAATCCTAAGCCCTAAACCCGAATCAAAATACTCTCAAGAGCAGTGCTTCGGAATCCACACCTCCGCATCAGAAACCAGATGCTCACCTCGAGTAGGGTGGACCACTTGAAGGTTTTGGGTAGGTATAAGGGTTCCTGTAAGGGCCCCTTTAAAGGGATCTATAGGGATTCTATAGTGGTATTGGGTTTAGGCCCTACTTGGAGGTTCATGCGTTGCTATAAGCGGGTTCATAAGTCCCTCAATATGGGCTGCACTTGTGGTTACCCTACTTATTTCTCCACTCACAGCTACCCATGGACCTCCAAGTAGAGCCTAAACCCTCTGCCCTTACAGAATCCCAATAGATTCCTTTAAAGGGGGCCATAATTTAAAGGAACCCTTTTAACTACCTATGGACCTCCAAGAAGCTTTCGCAGACAGTTTCGTGAAGGTCGATGATAGGGGTTTTAGGCCTTGGGTTCGTCCTTATGATCCTGCGGCGACTTTGGACACGCGGCTAGATTTTCAGTGCATAGCCTGAAATCCGAGAACATGAGCAGGCCCACAAGTGTAATATATATATATATATATATATATATACACACACACACACAAATTATATATACATAAATATTTTGTCATCATGATGATCTTCTCAGCATAGGTATTCGGTTCCCTTTGCATGTGCATTCGACAGGCTTTTGCAACACCGCAGCATACCGTGCATGTGCTTCCCCATCATCAAAGCCGTGGCAACAAGACCCGTCGTTCTGGCTACCCTAAAAGCTAAACCCTAAAACCAGCGGGCAACTCTCTACGTATGTCTGCACCAATGTCATCTACAATGCTGTTGACGATGGCTTTGATGGCGACACTACCACTGAGGTTGCTGATGAAGATGAAGATGATGCTGAGAATGATGGGGATAATGGTGAATAGTTATGATCGAGGAAGGCTGATGGCCGCACTCATGATTTGCACTTTGCATACCAAGGGGAAGGAATCTTGCAAAGCGGTAATGCTTAGACTTGCGCAACTCCGCCCGCTCGTAACGCGATTGCCCGATGCACACTTGGAGTTTCGAAATTTTGGGGTCACTGTCACTAAAACCTTTTGTCGATGCACGCGATGTCTGCATTGCCTTTAGAAAGACTGCTTGGAGGTTCATGGGTAGTTGTAAGTGGAGTTGTAAATAGCGTAATTATAGTTAAAACCATATTAGGGAACTTAAAATCCTACTTATAACTACCCATGAACCTCCATGTGTTCCCTTCCTGCAAAACCATGTGTGTCTCCCAATTGGCAAGTTTTGGCCTTAAGCAACAGACAGATCTGAACAGAACCGAAAACCTTCCACCCTAACCCCACTTAAAGGTTTTTGTGTACAAGTGGGGTTATAAGTCCATAAGACGGGTTCTAATATGTTTCACTTATTTAGACTCCCACCTGGGGGTTGCTACTAACCTATGAACCCCTAAGGAATTAAACCCTGAATCCTGAATCCCTATGCTCCTTGGCCCAACTTGGAATAGAGCTTGAAAAACCCCTAAACCCCTACAGAACCTCCAAGCAGAGACAGGAACAAACTGCTCAGAGAGCCCAATACCCCTTAATTAAGCAATATACCTTAAATTGTGAGGGGCTTCATCTTATGTTTTAAGCTATAATCTTTAATTAAGGGGTATTAGAATCCCCTAAACCCTAAACCTTATAGCTCCCTTATAGGTCCCTTAAAGGAGCCCTAAGCTATATTCCTCAATTAAGGGGTCTTGGGCTTTCTGGCTGCCGCTGCCTTGAGTCATGTTGGCGTCCAGACCGGCGCTGCGAAGGTGACTTACATAGCTGCTAAGCTGTGGCCTGGCGAAACTGAATTGTTGTTTTGGGGGTTTAGGGGTTTAGGTTTTAGGGATTTAGGGGTTTAGGGCTTTGGGTTGCCTGGCGAAATTGAATGGTACTTGAATACTTTTTTGGTACCTGTTCCTCAAAAGAACTATTATGAAATGAAAGTCTATACTTTTTTCTCCCTGGTTACTTCTCGGCCTAGTTAAGGAAATCTACGTAGTTTCAGATCAGTTACATGAAGTTACCATAAAAGGGGGGGTAGGGCCCTTTAAGTTAAGTGGTCCATGTGCAATTGCATTTCTTTACACTTTTCTTTGCCACAATAAGGGTCTAATGAATGACTGAATGACAATGACATGTCTTGACCTGGCAGATTGAATGATACGATTGGGACGCTATTGGCAGCGTAGGTAGGTAGGTAGGTATATAGGTAGGTAGGTAGGTAGGTAGGTAGGTGTAGTAGTAGTAGTAGTAGTAGTAGCAGTAGTAGTAGTAGTAGCAGTAGCAGCAGCGGTAGTAGTAGCAGTAGTAGTAGTAGTAGTAGTAGGAGTAATAGCAGCAGTAGCAGTAGCAGTAGCAGTAGCAGTAGCAGTAGCAGTAGCAGTAGCAGTAGCAGTAGCAGTAGCAGTAGCAGTAGCAGTAGGAGTAGGAGTAGGAGTAGGAGTAGGAGTAGGAGTAGGAGTAGGAGTAGGAGTAGGAGTAGGAGTAGGAGTAGGAGTAGTAGTAGTAGTAGTAGTAGTAGTAGTAGTAGTAGGAACACCAGCAGCAGGAGGAGTAGTAGCAGCAGTAGTAGTAGTAGCAGCAGGAGTAGAGGAGTAGTAGCAGTAGCAGTAGCAGTGGCAGTGCCAGTAGCAGTGGCAGTGCCAGTAGCAGTAGCCGTAGCGATAGTGGTAGCAGTAGCAGTAGCAGCAGCAGGAGCAGGAGCAGGAGCAGGAGCAGGAGCAGGAACAGGAGCAGGAGCAGGAGCAGGAGCAGTAGTAGCCGCAGTCGCAGTCACAGTCGCAGTCGCTGTCGCAGTGGCAGTGGCTGTTGCTGTTGCTGCTGCTGCTGCTGCTGTTGTTGTGGTGGCGGTTACAGTTGTGATTGTGGTTGTGGTTGCTGTTGTTGCGGTGGTGGTGGCGGTGAGTGCTAGTGGTGGTCGTGGTGGTGGTCGTGGTGGTGGTAGTGGCAGTGATGGTGGTGGTGGTTGTACTTTTGTAGTTGTTGTTCTTGTTGTTGCTGCTGTTACAGTTGTTGCTGTTCCTGCTTTGGCTCTTGTTTTGCTGTTTTTGTTGCTGCTGCTGCGGCTGCTGTATGCAGCTGTCCTTGTGATCCTTATCATGTTCACTGGCACAAATCTCTTAATAACCGTGACGTATTGTCGGGTCATTGTTGCTGCAATGTCAACTTCCCAGCTGAATACATCCCTGGGTGGGAGTGCTGTATTATATAGCTTACAGTGCTTATTTCGAATATGCCCACAATGACAAACACCCCAAACCTGCACTCACCAATGTTTGCGAGAAGGAGCCCTACTTGGAGGTTCATGGGTAGTTGTAAGTAGGGTTACAAGTCCCCTAATATGGATTATCAGTATAGCTACCCTACTTATAACCCCACTTATAGTGCAGCCCTGGCTTCCAATGAAATAAAGGTGCTCGCAGTCACGAATGCCCGGTGAGCAAACTAGGACCACCTGAAATCCTGCACAAACGTCCTACTTGGAGGACTTAGTAAGCCAGTTATAAGCAGGGATATAATATTTGGGGTGACTCCATTTCGGGTACTTATAGGTCTACTTATAACCTACTTACTAGGTCCCCTGGGCCTCGAAGTAGACCGTAAACCCACTTCGGACTTCATCCCTAGAAACCTTTGAACAAACCACAGACCAGCACACCACCCGTCGGGGTTCTTCAGCGTTGGGATTTAAGGCCTGCGCGGCTGCGAAACCCTTCAGAAACTAGAACCATGAACAACTCCCAGACGCCGGGAAAGATCTCACCCCCCCACCACAAAAAGCAAACGCACTGGATGAACTTGCATAGTTCCCAAACGCTCTCTTTCTAGATCCTGTTTGGGTATCACAAGCCCATGCAGCAAAACCAAAAGCCATAAGCCACAACCTTTGAAACCCTCTGAAATGCTCTACATCCCTTATGGGAACCGATTTGGTTCCTTTTCCGTACCCCCGTTAGAACCAGAATACACACAGTAGTTAAACACATATTGCTGTTTTATGTTCACTTGGGCTGTATAGGAACAAAACCAAAAAATGTTCCCTAAGGAGACAGGAGACTGTAGCATGGTTCCTTTTAAAGGGACCCTCAACCCTCTGCAGCAAGGAACACTAAAACCCGAACCTCCTAAAACCCTAAACCTCTAGGGTACCCTTAAAGACCCCTTACTTGCAGGTTCATGGGTAGTTATAAGTGGAAGTATAAGTCATGGGTTATAATCATAGTTATATACCCTACTTATAACTATTATAACTACCCATGAACCTCCAAGTATAGGGACCTCCTAAATCCCTAAACCATCCTTAAGGACCCCTTTTTGAACCTCCTAAAACCCTAAACCCTTTAAAGACCCCGTATACGAACCCTTCAGGTTCCCTTAAAGGAACCCTAAACCGACTTTACGGTTTAGGCACCCTCAACCCCAAATCCCATACCCTAAACCCTGAAACCCTAAACCCCTGAACCCTAAGCCCTAAAAGCCCTGAAAGCCCTAAAAACCTCAACCCTAAACCCTAAACACCCTAAACACCCTAAAAACCATAAAATCCTAAACCCTCAACCTCGGATTTGTTCGAAGAAGGCCCAGTCGCCTGGCCAGTAGCTCTGAGGGCGCCAGGGGACCAGTGAGCCTCAGCGACTCAGGGGCCGAAAAACCCAAGGGAATACCTGGGTTCCTTTAAGGGGTTCTGTAGGGCTTAAGGTTTAAAGGACTCTAATATCTCTTGAGGAATATACTTTCAGTTATAATAGGTACCTTAATGAATAGGATTTACGGTATATTCTTTAGTTAGGGGGTTTTGGAGCCTCAGCGACCTGGTGCAGAATGGCTTTAGGGTTTAGGGGACTCAGGGTTCAGGGGCTTAGGGTTTAAGGGTTTAACTCAGGGGTTTAGGGAACTATAGGGGTTTAGCGTTTAGGCTTTAGGGGATTAGGGGTTTAGGGTTTATGGAAAGTGGCGTTCACGTCTATAGTTTGTGTTGTTTTGAAGCATTGTTGGGAGTTTAAGGTTTTTTTGAAGTGTAATTTAAGGTTCAGGGTTCAGGGATTGGTTTAGGGTTTAGGGCTGAGGGTGTAGGGTTTAATATTTAAAAGGCTTTATGCCCTGGGGTTGTTGAGGAAACCAAACCCTCTCTACAGAAGATGTTCTGCATTGAGATTACGTATTTTAACGGCATACACTGAAAAGGCGACTGCTCCAGCTCGTCTAGTTTCGGAGGTTGAGTTACACAGTTTTGGATGGCGGGTTTAGATGAGTATCAGGGTCTGGACAAGGTCGGGATCAAGGCCGAGGGTTAAACCAACTTTGGGTGCGGATTTTGGGTTTCGTACAACTTCGGATTTTGAACTTCCAGTTAAGGTGACTTGAGATTATGGGTTTAAGCTTTTGGGGCCACCACCATGGGAGGCATACAGGACTTGCGATATTGAAGTCAGCCTTCATCGCCTTCACACTCAAACTTTAGACCTCTACCTGCGGCCCGAAAGCCCCAAAGACTGCCATCCCTGAAATCCTGCAGACCCGAAGATCCTTCAATCCCTAATGTAGGAACCTGATTAAGAAGGCTTGGGCCTGTATTAGGGTTCCTTTGCAGGGGTCTATAAGGGTTACTATAAGGGATGAATAATAAGGGTACTATTATGGAAACCTTGGGGTTCGATTAGGGTTCCTCATATGAGTCCCATTATTTTGGGGTTATAGGCCCAGGGTTCCGTAGTCAGGCTCCTACAGGAAGCGCTAAGCTTGTAAAACCTAAACCCTGGCTCCCAGGTCTAAAAGCTCTTGGCTGCAATGGCTCGACCCTAAGGCCGTCAAGTCCTAAAAGTAACGTATAGGAATCCCAGCAATATTTGGCCTTAATCCGGTTTCCAACTTATTTCTGGGTTTTACTGTAAACCGTACCTATAGTCTCCATTCTAGTTCCTTGTTTTGGTTTAACCAACTATATATTAAGGATCCGATAAGGTAACACCAAAAAGGAACTACAATGGAGACTATAGGTAAACCCTAAATCCCAAATATACCCCAAACCCTAGGCCTCAGACCTGAGCCCTAATTATGTGAGGGGGGTGCTGTAAACCGTAAGTCCGTAAGTTCTGAAATGTAAGCTGCCGAAGCTCAAAGGTCTAAAACAACCCTAAAAGGTTTACCCTAAGGGTCCAAGTATTCCCTATTATAGGACTTTAGGGACTTTTAGCTATCAACAACCGTAATTTAGGACTACTTGGACCCCTCGGGTTAGGGTTTGGGTTTAGGAAGCTTAGCGAACTCCTAACTTGCGAACCGCAAGGACCCCAAGGACCCGTAAAACTCTATGTGGAGGCTCATGGGTAAGTTGCAAGTGGGGCTGGAAGCAGGGAACCACAATTATAACCCATGTTAGGGCATTGAGAACCACACCCCAACCCTTCAACCATAAACCCTATAGAACCCTTAACTAAAGAACCTTACTTCAAACCCCACTTCTAACCACCCATGAACCTCCAAGTAGGCCTTATCCCTGAACCCTATACCCTTGTTTAATCTTTATAGTGCCTTTTAAAGGGAGCCATAAAGGAACCCCTATAACTACCAACGAACCTCCAAGTACACCCTGAGCCCCTGAGACGGCGACTCGCCCAAAGCCCCACCTCTGATGCATTGATGCATCATCGAATCTAGGGTTTAAGGGTTTGAGGGTTTAGGGGTTTAGGGTTCAGGCTCGTCCTTTGAAAAGTCGTTGGGCTTTGCTAGCACATCCACAGCACAGCACTTGAACGCCAAGAACCTCTGGTGATGGAGCCTCGGCAAACCCAGAGAATCCAAAACAGGCACATAAATACCTAAAATCATAAATAAGGATCCCCTGTAATTATAATTCTTTGCTAAGGGGTTGTGGAGTCTCCACGAAACCGTTAGCGAAGTTTGAGAGCCAGCCGAATTGGTAGAGGCTAAAACTTGGAGCCCGAAACATTCATTGAATTTTCAACCCTTACTGTAACCCAAACATCGACATCTTCAACACCCCCCCCCACTCCGCCCCCCCCATGTAATTACTTAACAGTCTAAGTCTGAAACTCCAGCGCTGCAGATTCGGGATTTGGGCGCTTGAGTACGACAGTCAGGGTTTAGGGTGCTTTGAAATACCTCAAAGTTTTAGATATTGAATGCTGAATCCGTAAAGCTTTCTCTGCGATTCTCTCCTCCGAAAAGCCTGCGCGCATAACCGTGGAACGCGCGCCTAGCGCATCGTCATCTCGATTGAGTCCTGATGCTCCTGCCAGCCGGGTTGCAAAGCATCTCAAGGTCCAGGGCTCCAGATCCCTAACTAATGGGAGGTTCATTCACGGGCGGTTGTAAGTGGGATTTTACGTAAGGTGACGATAAACAGAGACCACATTAGGGGACGTACGGCCCTACTTACGAAGACCCATGCAGGAACCTGCACGTACCGAGCACAACAACCGGTACCAAACCCTGACCCTGAACCTTAACCCTAAATTCGCCAAAAACCCTCCAAACCTTCACCCTAAACCACCAAAGTCCATCACCCCCTCAACACTGCAACGCCCATGGGACTTCGGCAGCCTTAACTAGGAAGCCCGAGAACCACGTTTAAAGTTGAAATACAAAGACGAGGATCTCCTAAACCCGAAACCGCATGTAGGGTGTGAGGTTTTTTTTTGTTGAACCCTCATGCCTTTTTGCCAGTGCAGCTAGGCACCATGTCTGGTTGAGGGGTGGGTTTCTCCTGCTAGGGTTGTGAGGTTTCGGGTATAGGGTTGTAGGGCTTCAGCTCAGTACACTTTTCCTCGTGAAAAAGAAAATGGCAACCGTTTAAGGTACGGGTACTTGGGGTCAGGTCCTGATGAACATGTAGAAATCAACCCTAAACCCTACACTTTCAGACTAGGGATTTGGCTCTGTCTGAGCTGTATGTCCTTCTCTTCTTCAACAACCAGGCCCAAAAAGGTTCAAAACCTTTAACAGTGACTAAATTACTAAATATGTAAAGCCAAAATTTTTAAGTTCTCCCAGAAGCCATCTAAGGTACCAGGACGGACCGATGAACACTACTGACAAATATGGGGACCTGAACAGAACTAGACGAAACTTTGCTGAGGTTTGCTAGCATTGCCATTAGATGTTCCGGCATTTAAGTCAATGTAGGCACCCGAACCCTCCAACCCTCAGCCCTAGTCGTCGGGAGCCGGCACCTCCGTCAGAGGACGCCATGCCAAGTTGCACCTCGCGTGCTCCCGTGTTTGGGGTTTGGGTTGCGGGGTTGCCGGCGTGAGGCTCGGGTTCGGGGGCTTGCAGTCTCGGCTTTAGTGTCGGGGTCTCGGGGATAGGCTGCACTAGAGAACCGTGTTTTCTCGCCATGAGAATCCCCACTTGTACATGCGAGATGGGGGTGCTGGAGTGTTTCCTTAGCTCGCATTCGAAGCTCATGGATCAATCCGACTCCCAAAAGCTTGACGAGAGGACTGTCTGGAACATCCTCCGATCCCAGCCATGACGTCATCAATTGCACCTTCACCTGCCTCCTCAAGCTCAGTAGAAAGCCAGCGTGTTGTTTTCAGCTAGAGGAACGTCTTGAGAATGGGTTGGCCCTTCTTGCATGTCGAGCTTATGTAGCTTCTCATGAACTTCTGTCTTCAAACTCCGCAATAAATGCTTGGGTTTTCGAAGAAGTATAAGCTGCAAAGTGGAAGGTTCCAGAGAACAGCGCTGCGGTAAGCCGAGCATTTCCTCCAGCCATGGTTTTCGTCGATGTACCTGTCAACATAGCACTCAATGCTCCTGGACCATAGCACTTGCGTGTCGAGGAACTTCCTGAAAGTCCGTGCGTGGGTTGATTGACTGTAGACCAATTCTGAGAAGAGTCTACGACAACACCGCCTTGGGTACGGCCCCCATATAGTAACAGTCTATAATAGGCCTACTATTAAGGGCCTTATAAATCCATATTATGAATATTATCCAACTGTTACTGCACTGCCCGACAACAAAATAGAGCGCTCTCGCTCCAAATACCCGAGAAAGCCCAACACAGGAAACCCTAAACCTTAACATCCTGAACTCTTAAACGAAGCTAGATGCCCAAACCATCCCTTCAGTAGGGAAAGCCCTTAGAATGATTAAATTAGGGGTCGTAGTAGTTAAAGGCACAATATTACTAGTTCTTGCGGCCCTTCTTGAACGCTAAACCCTAATCCCTAAAACCATCTAAACCCTGAATGTCCTTTTTTTGGACCCCTCATTATAAACTAGGGAATACATCCGTAAATAAGATCCTCCTAACGCGAATGAGGGCGAACACAAACTGGATCACCCACACAGCCGACCCAGAGGCTCCAAAACCCCTTAATTAAGGAATATTCCTTAAATTATGATAGGACCCCTCAAACGGTTTAAGGCATATTCCTTAACTAAGGGGTTTTGGAGGCTCTGGGGAGCTAGTAAAAGACCAGTTCTATGAGAGGCTCTGCTATCTTTAAAATATTACTGCTAGGTCTTCGTTGGGACCCTGAAACCCGAACCCCAAACCATAAACGCCTAAACCCCTAAACAGCCCTAAACACTAAACCCCGAAACCGTACACCCTGAACATCCCTAAACCATTACTTGGAGGGTCGGGGGACTCAGTAACTGGTTATTTTAGGGACTTATAAGTGCCAAAACCCTAATTAGGGTCCCTTTTAGGGTACTTATAACACTACTTACTACTTACTAAGTCCCCCGACCCTCCAAGTAACTAACCTCCACCGCGGCAACCCCCTAAACCTAGACGCGGCCACAATTGACCTACCAAAATAAGCCCTTAAGCCACTGCCTAAGTCACATCCTCAGCTTCGACTTTTTCGTTGCAAGGGGGGGGTGGGGGGTGGGGGGGTGGGGGGAGGGATGATAACAAACATGTTCACGCACTTCGTATGCAAGTCGATGCTTCTTATTTCTGAGTCAGTAATGAGTGTCATGTGTGTGTGTGTTGTGTAGGAATGCGGGCTGCCGGCAAACATGTTCACATGCCTGTTCTTGCCACAACAAACATGCTGACATGCCTGTTCTTGCTGAGTTTTGGCCGAAGATGTGGACCCCACCTAGGCAGCGTACAATCAGTGGGGCTTCAAGCCCATACAGTGTTGCGAACTCCCGGCTAGAGCTTCAGCTATGGTCTCCAATGTCCGTTCAATCGTCGCCGGACCGTGCCTGTGGCTCAGTCGTCGTCAGTCCGCCGTGCAGTACCAAGTGATCCACCTTTTGCAGAAGTGCCACCGGCTGCAGTAGCAAATGCAACATCTGTTGCTGAAGTCCCCAGATGGAGAGACTAAAGTCAACCCTGCTTTAGTGGAGTATCTGTTTCAGTTCTCGTTGCGCTGGCATCATGAAGCAAACTTTCAGTGCCTGAAGCAGAAAGTTGGGGACTTCCTGCGAACTAAAGGGCGGAAAAGTGCTTGCTCTAAGTTTGCATGTGCATGAACGCTGGCACGCACAGCGAAATCGGTAGGGCAGAAGTGGCCGCGCCAGGCCCTAAACCCTAAACCACAAACCCCTTAACTCTTAAACTTGTGCAGCTCTTGAGAATTCTAAAACACCTAAACCCGTTAAAGGAACCCTAAACCCTCGTAGGATCCCCCTAAATCCCTTTAAAGGGACCCTTAGAGGAGCCCATCAGGGCTAATCCCCTAAGCCCTAATCCCCCCAAACATCCCTAAACCGTAAACTTTTCGAGATCCCCCACAAAGAACCCTTGTGGGTCCTTTTACAGAAACCCTCATAGAATCCCTATGAAATCCCTATAAACCCCTTTTAAAGGGGCCCATAAAGGCGCCCTAGGTTAGAAACCCTACTTGGAAGGTCTTTATGGGACTTAGTAAGTAGGGGCTCCTTTAAAGGGGATTCTAAGGGTCCCTTTAAAGGGCTCTATAGGGGTACTATAGGGTTTAGGGTTTAGGGTTCAGGGACTTAGTAAGTAGGTAGTAAGTAGACTTAGAAGTACCCTAAACAGGGACCCTAATTGAGGTTATGGTAATTATGAGTCCCTAAAATAACCAGTTACTAAGTCCCCCGATCCTCCAAGTAAAGTTCCTTTAAGGGGTTCTATGGGGTTTAAGGTTTAAAGCACTCTAATATCTCTTAAGGAATATACCTTCAGTTATAATAGGTACCTTAATGAATAGGATTTACCTTAATAGTCCCCCGATCCTCCAAGTAGGTCCTAAGGGTTCCTTGTGGGTCCTTTTTCAGAAACCCTCATAGAATCCCTTTAGATCCCTTTTAAAGGGGCCCCTAAAGGCGCCCTAGGTTAGAATCCCTAAAGGGCCCCTTCAGTCGAAGACCGGGGCCCGAGCGAGCAGACGACGGCAGACGCGAAGCGCTGCGATCGAGTGGCCACCGAGCTCCTGCATGGAGGGGCCTCTAGGGTTTAAGGGTCCCTTTTAAGGGATCTATAGTTAGGGATTCTAGGGTTTAAGGGTCCCTTTTAAGGGATCTATAGTTAGGGATTCTAGGGTTTGAGGGTCCCTTTTAAGGGATCTATAGTTAGGGATTCTAGGGTTTAAGGGTCCCTTTTAAGGGATCTATAGTTAGGGATTCTATGAGGCTAGAGCGGGATTTTGATGGGCGAGGGGATTAAAGTTGTTTTGAGAGCTTAGGGTTTAGGGCTTCGGGTAGTTATAGGCATAGAGTCTACTCTATAGAGCTTATGGGTAGTCATACATATGGGTTTAGGGTTTAGGAGTTGAAGGTGTGTAGGGTTTAGGGTAGTTGTAGGCATGGAGGGTTCCCTTTAAGGTTTCCTTTAAGGGTTCCCTTGGGTCGATTGGGGGGCTTCCCTTAACGCTTCGTTTAACTGTTCCAGGGGTTTCGGGTTCGGGGTGCTGAGGTTATGGGCAGCTATAAGGGGTTTAGAATGTAGGGTTTAGGGATTAGGGTAGTTGCAGGCATAGAGGTTATGGGTAGGGGTTAGGGTTTAGGGTTTAGGGGCTCAGGGTTGAGGGCCGTTATAGCCAAAGAGGTTCTGGGTACTTACAGGGGTTTAGGGGTTTCGGGTGGGTTACCTTTAGGGCAGTTTAGAAGTGGATTCTGGCTCAGTGCTTTCTATTTTTTGCTTTTCAGTGCTTTGGGTTTACAGTTCAGTGTTCCTTTAGTTGTTGATTAATCGGGCCTTTTTCGTCTGCCCCAGTTTAGGTCTACGGACTAGGTAGGGCTTTGGGGGGCTATGATTCTGCGTTGGAGATCAGCAAGGGCTCAGGGATCAGGGTTTAGGGGTCGCAAGACCAGCGTACTATGAGGGTTGAGGGTTATATCCGTGTTCTACAAGCTTGATGTAAGGGTCCTACAAGGGTTGTACAAGTTTTCTACAAACAGGTGCTTTTAAGGGTTTTTAGAGGTTACTTGGAGGGTCAGGTTCTAACTCTTGTTACCCGACTTTTCAGCCGTCGCAGAAAGGCCCGGACGTGTAGTTGCGTGTAGTGGTCCATGGCTCAACTAACCTCTGGATCAGCCCCCAACTTTAACCCACAAGCCCTAGACCCTAAACAATGAACCCTAAGCCCTAAACCTCCCTAAACCAAACCGTGAAGCCCAAAACTCACGAGTCTCTGTGCTCGGACCCTTTCGAAGCCGCCAAGGTTGAAATCAAGTGGTCGGCATCAGCTGCACTCTGTTGGCGAGCCGGGAAACATTAGCACGTGGTGTTTCTGGTCACTCACTCTTTCGTCATGAGACTTTTGCAAGTCTTGGGAATCTTTTTTGGAGGGTAGGGCTGTCGACTGCATTTTTTGCAGGACTCGGGGTGTTCTGGGTATGAGATGGGGGTTTCGGATCGTACAGGCTGAACTGTCATCTCAGATGCATCTTTCTATCTATTTGCCAAATTTGCGGTGCCGGTCGGCCCTGTCCTACTTAGAGGTTCATGGATAGTTAAAAGTGGGGTGATAAGTTCCCTAATATGAGTTATAAGTATACCTACCCTACATATAACCCCACTTATAACTACTCCTGAACCTCCAAGTATCCATGCACCTATAGACACTGTATGCTTTGACCCTGAAGTACCCGAAAACCAACAACCCCGAAATCCGAAACCCTGAAGCTTTATGGGATCCTGGATCCTCGCACAGCCTAAGACCATCCAGCTACATGGACAGCTACAGCGGCAAAGTTAAACCATGTTAAACCCTAAAATCCTAAATGTTACTGGTCTCTCTCTCTCTCTCTCACCATGCGGACGGTCCGGAACGTGCTCCCAAATCCTAAATCCTTAATCCCCATGGCGTCCGACTAGCGAATCTGAGACACCTGAACGATGCACGCCGATGACCAAGCTGTGTTTGAATAGGGTTTTGGGCTATATCGTAGTATACTTACAATCGGAACCACAAGGAATGGTTTTACTAATCACTTGGGTGCCATGATGAGGATTATGGTATATAGTTTGGGGGCTGCAGGTTTAACAGTCACAGTCCCTAAACGGTTTAGGGACTGTGACTGAAGGTTGAGAATTTCGAGGCAGAGGGCTCAGGGGACAAGGTGCTTAGGGTTTACCTTAATCCCAAATATCCTCCCTTTCTAAGGACTTATACAAAGAAAGTATATCAGGGAACCTTAAAAAGGTAGGTTCTTTGGGGTCCAGGTAGAGTTTCCTCTGATATGCAGGGTTCGACTAGGCCGAGAAGTAACCAGGGAGAAAAAAGTATAGACTTTTATTTCATACTGGTTCCTGTAAAGAACAGGTACACAAAAAAGTATTCAAGTATGGTACTCCAAACCCAGGAGGGTTCTAAATTTCTGAGTGAGCACTGCCACCCTCAGCCGGACGGCGCCCTCCCCTGGCCGCGCGCTCAAGGCTTGCGAGTTCAAAGCTGGCGTTTCCAATCCTAAACCCTGAATCCCAAATATCCCCAAACCCTATAGTCTCCATTGTAGTTCCCTTACTTGCTTTAACCAACCATATATTAAGGATCCTACAAGGTGACCCCAAAAAGGAACTACAATGGAGACTATAGGTAAGCCCTAAAACCCAAACATCCCCCAAGCCCTAAGCCTCAGACCTAAGCCCTAATTATTGGGGAGGGAGGGGGGGGGTTTGGCTTGCGGATGGCGAAACCTGAAATCTAGACCAAACCCTGAACCCTAAACCCTAAGTCCACAGCCCTGAAGCCAAAAAGTCTGAACCCCACGCGCGACTTGAAGGCTCATGGGTACTTAGCTATAAGTGGGTATGCAGGAGGAGGGGGAAAAATATAATCAGTGCGGCTACCCTATCTAAACAGCTACTTAATGAGTCTGCTGATCGTGTAAAGCCTGACAGCATTTCAGCCAAGCCCCAGCAAAACTTGCGGTCCGTATTCGCACAGGTATGTTTACGGTTTTATTCGCTTGCTGCATACGGGTTTCGATTGGATTGCTCTTGAAAAGGCGTTTCGCGTTAGCTCTTAGGGTTTATATGGCTTACTGGAACCTTTCGGCCTCCGAGCTTGGTTCCCTTTAACGGCTGCAAATGCCGGCTCAAGCTGTGTCTGACAAGTACATGGGGACCGCAAGGGAGTGCTGCTACTGATACTTTACGGCTTGATCGAGGCGGCTCGTAACCCCTCAGAAATGGGGGTATCTGTTCTCCCACTAACTAGTCTTGAAGCGATACCCCATAAGAAACCCTAGAGTGACTCAGCATACCATTCTCGAGATTCAAGGTTTGAGGCTTTGGGACTAGACATCGGGTGTTTCCCAGAGACTCCAATATCCCTTAATTAAGGAATATGACATAAATTATAGTAGGATCCCTTATATGATTCAAGGAATATTCCTTAGTTAAGGGATATTGGAGTCTCTGGGTTCAGATGCTGCCGGCGACTTCACGGGCGTTGAATCATTAGCCATACTGTTCGCTTGAATACGCTGCTCCCTACAATGTGTCCCAGCACCCTATTCTGCTTTATTCAGGCCTCCCTACTTGGAGGGTTGGGGGAAGTAAGTAGACTTATAAGTATCCTAAAAGGGACCCATATTGGGGTTAGGATACGTATAAGTCCCAAACATAGCCAGTTACTAAGTCCCCCGACCCTTCTAGTAAAGAGAATCTGGGACTTTCCAGCCTCCCTGATATCCCCTTTGTCGATCCCACGCCGCCTCCAGCTGAAAAACCTTCTGTCGAACTTCCGCCAGTTCCTGCTGGTGTGCATACTTGGAGAAACATGGGACTTTGCAAGTAAGCTTGCAAGCACCTAATTGATTGAGGTTGCATGAAGTTATGCACAAGTACAGTTAGTCTAGTCTATGTATAACCTTAGTTACTAAATCCAGTGATCCTCTAAGCAGGGCCCTAAAACCCTAAAACCTAGACCCTTGACCGCAAGCCAAACATACCCGAACCCTAAACCCTAAGAGTAATTCAGCCTAAACCCCGGCTCGACACCCGAGACCCTGCTTACAGGGATTACTTGCAGGTTTCATTGGTGTTCTACAACCCACATAGGGGACTTATAACCCAACTTACATTAAGCTCATAGCTACCCATGAACCTCCCAGTCCAGCTTTGGAACACGCTTCATATAGGGACCTTAATAATTAGAATAGGGTTTTGGGGCCCATTATGCTATAACTATAATAAGGACCCCCCCTAAAACAAAAAAAGCAATAGTGTAGGTAATCATTTAGGCCACTATATTCGCTGTTTTCGGCCTGCAAGCCCAGGTTTCGTTTAGCCGCACCCAGACACCCGAAATGCGGGACCCTGTACGACTGATCCGGTTTCATTATGGTACCTATAGTCTCCATTGTAGTTTTTTTTGGGGTTACCTTTTAGTATCCTTAATATATAATTGGTTAAACCCAAAAAAGGAACTATAATGGAGACTATAGGTAGAAGCCCAAAAGTTGGAAACCCAATAGCCTCACTGCTTCAGAGTAATGTAAAGGGACTATTTGTCCTTACTCCGGTTTCCAACTTTATGGAGTTACTGTAATTGAAAGGAACGTACTTTCTAGCTCCAGCCAGCAGTCTGGGTATGTGAGCTCTCTAAACTGGGGTCTCAACGAGAAGGGGGTTCTCTTGGAGATATCGGTTTTCACCGACGAGTCAGCAAGCCAGGTCAATATCTCGCTGCAGTCCTAAACGTTGGCGCTTGCCCGGGGCGAATCTACTTGGAGGTTCATGGGTGGTTATATAAGTGGGCTTACAAAGTGGCTTAAGATGGATTATAACTATAGTTACCGTACTTATGATGCCACTTATGCTCTCCTCATGCGGGCAATAGGCATTCAGTGCAGCGGGTCGCTGATGCCTTGCTGAGCCCAAAATTCGTATTCACTGCTGGAGACGGAAGCGTCCAGGTCCGATGTGGCGGTGTATGCATATGGGAGTTTCCGAAAATTGGGGACCCTACTAAAGTACCCTAAATAGTAGGATCCTTACTATAAGGACCCCCACATTCCGGACCCCTAATTTTCGGAAACTCCCATGTGGCGTTGTATGCATATGCGTAGTCTGCAACGCATGTTATGCCTGCTGTAGCGAGTGTGTCGAGAAGTGCAACCCGCATGTGCAAGTCCTGGAACCTGCAGGCCTGCTTCGTTGTTCAGCTCATCATTGATTGCATCCGGCGCCGGCTGTGCGTGGCAATCTGGACCCTCCTCACCTCCAAGAAAACAAAAGTTACCTTGTACTACCTTAAACCCACAACCTTACTTAAACCCTAAATTACTAAACCATTAAACCCTAAACCTTGAACCCTAAACGCCGGAGAACCCTAAACCCTAAACCCTTGAGAACCCTGGAAGGAACCGCACTTAAAACCTGCAAGAAAACCCTTAACAGGCGTCCAAGTCGAAGAGACCGCTAAGAGCGGCTGATCTTGTGCCGACGTAACCAAACCGCCACCCAAGCAGCCCAATACCCCTGAATCCATGAATATTCCTTGAATGATCAGGGCCTCCGTGTGCAGGCTGCAAATATTTTCCTTAGTTAAGGGTTGTTGGGCTCTCTGGGTACAGCCTGCCCTAAACCCCTAAACACGCCGCACGCAGTCCACAGGCACACTCTGCCGCAAGGGGTGGCAGAGTAAGTTCAAGTTGTTTATCGAGCTCAAGCGCTAGACCCTTAAGACACTATAGAAACAGCAAAACAGATCCCCGGCAATCCCATACGGGAACCCCTTATAGAATCCTCATATGTGCACGCAAAATCCGTCAACCTCAGAGTATCGATCTGAACAGTGATTCTTTGGGCCGCGGCGCCTACAAGCCCCTGTAGAAATAATTAGCATTCCAGCTTTGGGATGTAGGTTAAGGCCCTATTTATGTGTTAAGCGGGGTAGACGTAGGTACCCCTTGCAATTGAGGCCTTAGGCCGTATATAAACCACTTTAGAAACCCTTCACTCTAAACCCCAAGTTCTGAAACCCTAAACCTTAACCACGGAAAACTCCTAGCTCATGAAGCCCTAAACCCTAAACCCTAAACTATGTCCGAGTTTATTTTGGAGATCCTCGGCCTACCCCCCGGAAGTTCTCCTTTCCAAGTTGCAGGATAGGGTCGGTATTCGGGGGACTTAGTAACTGCTTATTTTTGGGACTTATAAATATCATAAACCCAATTAGGGTCCCTTTTAGGGTACTCATAAGTCTACTTACCTCCTACTTACTAAGTCCCCCGACCCTCCAAGTATGGGTTCAGGGTTTACGGTTTCCTGTGCCGAAAAGCCTGGTCAGCTACAGTCTAAACGGAAACAGCCCTCAACCCCAAAGCCCAAAACCCTTAAATCAAATCTATCGTCCAAAGTTCCTCTACCCGAGAAGCGCCAACTCCGAACTCCGAGCCTTTAAACTGATCTTTGTGTCTGTGTGCTAAGGAAGACCCTGCGGTCCTTCTCTTTGTCTGCAAGGTCTTCTTGACACTCCTGCCAAACATCACCCGGTTTTGAATCTGATTTTGTAGTTCAGGGTTTACAGCTTTGGATGTGTAGTAGCCCGGCCCTTGACCTAAGACTCCACCTAGCCCAACTGAACTACACCCAAAAATACTTGCAGGGAGTCTTGCCTGAACCAAAACACAATCCTCTACTTGGAGGTTCAATTGTAGTTACAAGTGGAGTTCAGAAGTCAACATCATTTGGGCTATAAGCATAGTTACTCTGCTTGAAATCTGGACTTTGAAGTAACCAGGGAGAAAAAAGTACAGACCTGCATTTCATAATGGTTCCTTTCAGGAACAGGTACCCAAAACCAGTATTCAAGCATGGTACTCCAAACTCAGGTAACCCCCCTTGTAACTACCCATGAACCTCCAAGGAAAACTCTTTTTGGCCAGAGCATGGGCTCGAAGTCTTGATGTGGGCAATTCTAACCCTAAACCCTGAACCCCTAAACCCCTAAACCCTAAACCCCTAACCTGCTTTGGGGGGTCCTGGAGCATGAAGCGAGCTGCCGCCAACTCGCACTGCAAGGCCTTGCAGGTGTCGGTTTCCCAAAACAGGCCCGGTAACAGGATCTGGACGACAAAGGCTTATGAAACTGTAGTGCCTGAGTAAGTATAGGGTGTTGGGGTATTCTATAGCCTAAGACGATAGGGACTCTAACGGAATACTACTATCAGCATTTCCGAACCCTATGACCTTATGATGTGCTACCCTATGCTGCTTGCAGCAGAATAAGCAGACACCCTGTGAACAGGAGCAGAACAGAACATCCTAAATACCATCTCAGGAGGAGCGCCTGGAGTAAACGTCCCTGGGTAAGATAGCGAAAGTGTTAATTAATGGCCCTTAGCCTTATAGTAACCCTTGTTGTAACCTTCAAGGGATCTGGGCGGGGATTGCTCATCCAGGAGTACAGTACATCCCAGCCACCTTAGACTGGCCATCGACCATTTCTCTCACCCAAATCCGAGACCCTACCAGCTACAGGAGGCTTTAAGCTCAACAATCAGCATGACTTCCAAATTCCGATGGAACCCTTCACACACTCTGAAAAACAACACAAATAAACCCTAAACCCAAAGCCATGAACCCCTACACCCCTACACACCTGACCCCTAAACCCTATCATCGTGCTTTCTTAAGGCCGTAATGTAGGAGCCTCAAGAAATAGAATAGGGATTTGGGGGCTCCTTGTTTTAATTATAGTATAATCTACCCCCAAACCCTATTCTAGTTTTTAAGGCCCCTACATTACTCGCCGTTCCCCGGCGGGAGCCTTCACCTGAGCCCGCTCTGCGCTCAGTGCGGCCACCGTATCAGCCAAAGCCTGCAACCAGGGTTTAGGGGTGTCGAGTTTTGGGGTTTAGGGTCTAGGGTTCAAGGCTTTAACTGTTTGGGGTTTAGGGTCTAGGGTTCAGGGCTTTAAGGGTTTGGGTTTAGGGTCTAGGGTTCAGGGCCTTAAGGGTTTGGGGTAGGGTTTGGGGTTTAAGGTCTAGGGTTTAAGGTCTCAGGGGTTCGTTAGAAGTTTGTCCATCAGCTGCAGTTGGAGTTTCATGAGTAGTTGTATGTAGAGTTATAAGTCGGGCGACCAAAAGTATAACACATACTAGAGACTTGGAACCCTACTCATAACTACTCATAACTACCCATGAACCTCCAAGCAGTTAAGATATGGGACGCTGCACCCTGGCAGTGACATCAGAGAAGAGCCACAGGCCCGAACACGTCAACGCTCCAACATCCGACACCAGGCTCATTGAGCCAAGAACGAAGATGTGCGCAGGACTGCATACGCAAATGAAGAACCCTTGTGCACGAAGATTCGAAGCGCTTCGCTTGAAAGAGTTGCATGTCTACATGCATACCTGAATGCCTGCAGGCATATCACTTAAACATGCTGAGGTCTGTACGTCTGCATCTACTCACGCAAGGAGATGAACAAGTGAGACACCAACCACCCTCAAAGATTGCATGAAACAGAAGCAGCAGTGCCTCCTGCCAAAAGTCGGGTCTTCCACAACAACGACGATGCGGTTGAAGGCTAAGGGCATATCGACTCACAAAGTTTGAAGGTGCTATCTATTCAGCTACGAGTACGGACGAAAGCCCAGCAGTCCGACATAGGGGCCTTAACTACATAACATGGCGGGTATTCCACTCGAACTAGAATGTTGATAGGGACAACGGAATCATACTAGTAAGGCTTTCAGTGTTCATATGAGGACCATAAGGATGGACAGAGCGCAGTGGTATCATTCTTCCAGCGAGTCGCGCCGTGGGAACCATCGTCGTCGGGGCCTGTGCCCGATCTCTCCTCCAGAGCCTTCGTATCTCGGCCCTTTCAAATCGAGACGTTGTATGCCGACATCTGCGGGCCACTTCTGGGCCGCACCGTGGAGCTCTTCCCTCGCACTTCTGTTGCGATTTGAAAGCCTACATGATTGGAACTGAACTGCATAAGCTTCCTTCATGCATGTCTGCTTCTAATGCCGCTTGCTCTGAGTCTGGTTGATACTGGTGGGGATGAGATTTGAAATGACAGGAAAGAGTTTTTCAAAACTGGATCATACGCGTCTTGGGGCTCACAGCTCCTTGTGGCTCCCGTTCTTCTCAATCTGCATGAAATGCACGGTGTCCGACGAGCCGTCCTGAACAAGGTTAGTGCTCGGCTGTGGGTAGCCTGAGTAGCCTTTCTTCCAGGACCACCACTTCTTCTTCCAACGGCCGTAGTAAGTCGGTTCTGGCCCTTCTGTGGTCGTTGCTTCCGGTGTTGCCGTGGTCGTGGTGGGCGGCTGGGTGATAGGCCCCACCTTCACCATGTCTCCATAAGAAGTCAATGCAAGAGGGCCGAGCAAACGTCGCATGCCTTGGTAGCGTGCTTTGAAGCTGTGCAAGCACTTGCTGTTGTCCCAGGAAATGAAGCGCTTGGCGATTGCTTCCACCTCCTTGACAACCTTCTGGTCGTCAGAGACGTCCTTGAAGATGAGTTTGCCAAAGCTGCCGCCATCCGGGGCGGACTCAAGGTAGGCGACCGCGGCCGTCCCCGGAACCTTGCTGTTCACCCAGGTGTTAATGTGATCCGAATGCTCTTGCACATCGCCACTCTTGCGAGAGACTGGGACGGAAGACTTGGAGGCCTCCAGCTGTGCTGCCTCCTTGCCAGTCATGGTTTCCCGAAGCCGCTTCTCCAGAGCCGCGTGGCCCGCAACTTCGAGAATAAGCTTACCCACAGGCTCCAGCACTTCCACAGCACTGGAGAGCTGCGCCTCTTGCTCCTTTGACCTCAGCTCCGATTTGAGGCGCTGTGCGAGCATTGGCGCCTCCTGGCGCACGCGCTCCGGCCCACTCCTCTGCGCCTCGAGGTCTGTGATCACAGCCTGTGCTTCGGCATCGGAAAGGAAGTTGTCGATGACCTTGATGGAAGACAAGCACGTCACGTCCGGACTCGCAAGGGTCTGTGCAAGCAGAAGTGGCGCCAAGAACCAGGATGCAGCCATGTGTGAAGCCAACGCGAGGATTCCGAATAAAGCTTCTCAATGTCGGTCGAGCGGCAATGGCTTTGACTGTGAATCTTGAGAACAGCCCCAAATCCCCTCAAAAACCGCAATCGTCGCAATATAGGGGCCTTAATAATTAGAATCGGGTTGTGGGGCCCATTATACTATAATTATAGCAAGGAACCCGCAAGATTGTATAGATAATTATTACTACGGCCCCTATAGTAGGCCCAAAAGCCTGGCTTCTGAACCTTCCTAAAACCCGAAGCTCTAAACCTCTAAACCCGGAATCCCTAAACCCCTAAGCCCCTACACCCTTAAACCCTAAACCCTCTAAGCTCTAATCGACTCTAATCAAACCACGAAACTCGAAAACCCCTTGACCCCTAAAGCCCTGAAACGACGCTGCAGGAGCCTTCTGCAGTTGCTCTGAGCTCTGACTCCCAGCCGCTTCCTGAGAGTTCAGGGCTTGGGTTTCAAAACAGCTCCTTAGTAGATAGAATACGGTTTTACAATGTCTGATGAAGATTTAGAGGTTTCCAAGGTTTCATACGGTTTTGTGGGGCTTGGCATCTTGGAATTGAAGTTTAAGTCTAGGGATTGGTGGACGTGAGGTACGGGGATTTGGGACTTTGGGGCTTTAGGGTTCACGGTCCGCAGGGCTTCTACATGCAGCGGGTTTGCAAAGCTGAGCATTTGCGACTGGCAGGTACCCAGAGCCTCCAAAACCCCTTAATTTAGGAATATACCTTAAATCATACTAGGGCTCCTATTATAATTTAAGGTATATTCCTTAATTAAGGGGTTTGGGAGTCTCTGGGCATTGAATGTCTGTTGAGGCCTTGCGAATATGACGTCCTTGCCCGGTGTAAACATGGAGTCCTGACTGTGCTACTGTGTTGGCGGCAGGCTTTACAAGCGGCAATCATTGGAATGACATCTGGGGTCATGTTGTGTTTTCGGTACCTGTGTTCAAGAACAAAGCCCCTCAGCGTAAGCGCCGGCAGAAAACCATTGCCAAGCCGTATAAAAAAAAAAAACTATTGAACCAGATGGAAGTGTTTTCTAGAACCATCCCAACACCCACTTTACCTTCTGGGTTTTGCCCTGAAGGCTTCCCAAGACATCAAAGAATACGCCTCAAATACCTGGTTTAGCAGGGCCTTGCTAAACTACAACAGGGCTTTGGGTCGATCAGCACTAGAATAAGCAACCCCAAGGAATATTATGACAAATGGAAGTTTCCGAAAACAGGGGACTCTTATATAGTACCCTAAATAATAGGGTTTTATTAGAAGGACCCCCGAAAAGGTACCCCTTGCTTTCGGAAACTCCCAAAAGAGTTGGACCCTGTAAGTTGGAGCCTTGTAGTCGTCTTGTACAATGCCAACTAGTGGTACCTGGCATTTTCTGAACTTTGAAGTACCCCAGGGAGAAAAAGTATAGACGTTTATTTCATAATGGTTCCTTTAAGGAACAGGTACCCAAAAAAGTATTCAAGTATGGTACTCCAAACCCAGGTTTTGGGGTATAGGACTATGTGGGAACACTGTGAATGGTAGGGCTGAGGGTTGAGAGTTGTGGGTGTAGCAAGGATGCCGTAAGTTTTCAAAAGGGGCCCAAATCAGTGCTGGGCCCAGTAATGGTGAGAAGTTAGTGAGAAAAGCATGACAATGTGAAGACCGTGACACAACTGAGATTGATAACAACGATAGCATTTCACCGGCGGAAACAAATAAATACTGCAATAGTCATCTTGCCCTTTAGCCTGATGTTCTGAAGCTCCTATTGGCGGTCATGAATCGACCTCTGCTGTTGGAGGAACTTCCCGTCCAGCGCTGGACAAGCCTTTGACGTGAAGGGGATTGGAAGTCGGTCGGGGAGCCAAAACACGTTCGGAAAGGTTTCCCTACTTGGAGGGTCGGGGGACTAGTAAGTGGGTAGTAAGTAGAGGTATAAGTACCCTAAAAGGGACCCTAACTGGGGGTTTGGTACTTATAAGTCCCTAACATAACCAGTTACTAAGTCCCCCGACCCTCCAAGTAATGTGATCCCGCACCAAAACCCATTAAAACCCCCTTGGAAGGTGGTGCAGGTTGGAAGTACCCCACGACCGTGAGAAGGTTTCGCTGCTCGTTAAACGGTTTTGACAGGGTGTTGGAAGGTTTGTTTTAGAACGGGTTGGTGTATGGAAGACGGTTTCGGGCGGTGTAGGATGCCACATATACTTCCCAGAAAACACACCTGAACCTCAAGTACCTCGTTCAAAGTCGAGACTCTGTTCGTCCATTCACTTGATCCAGGCGACCGACTAAGATCTATGAGAAGCAATATTGCTCGTCTGCGCGTGTTGCATCCTGCCCTCTTTCGGGTCTAGTCTCCTCAGAGTCGCATCGGTTCCAGCTTTCCCATCGTAGCCTCTGCAATCTCGCTGAGGTCACCATCATGAACCGCCTTGTGGCTTTCTCCTGCTTTCTCTGAGCTTCGTCATGTAGGTGGGGCGGAAGGTTGCGCACAGCAATCGAAGGGATTGAAGACCCAGAACCTCCAAAACCCCTTAATTAAGGAATATACCTTAAATCATACTAGAGCTCCTATTGTAATTTAAGGTATATTCCTTAATTAAGGGGTTTTGGAGGCTCTGGGGAGTGTGCTCCACGGAATAGTGCGGAGGCCGCTGAGGTTCATTGTAGGGCTGGCGTGATGCGATGGATGTGTTCCCGCATCAGCTCCTTGAGCCGTAGCCATTTACGGTTTAGGGTTTAGAATGTAGGGTTTAGGGTTTAGAGCTTAGGGTGTAGGGTTTAGGGGCCCTAAATCCCTAAACCTCAAACCTCGCAGGCTACCTAAATCCCTAAACCTCAAACCTCGCAGGCTAATTTAGGCTCCAAACCCTAAACCTGGAACCTATAAACCCAGAGACTCCAATATCCCTTAATTAAGGAATATACCTCAAGTTATAGTAAGATCCCTTCTATGATTTAAGGTATATTCCTTAATTAAGGGATATTGGAGTCTCTGGGAACCCAGACCTTGAAGACTCTATCCCAAAAGCCGAGGCCCCTAAATAACTTTCAGCCGTCAGAGAAAAGTATGAATATCAGTTAGAAGGGGCCGCCACCCTGCAATAGTGGCATAGTAGGCATATAAAAGGGCCCTAATATAATCCTTATAGTCACTATTACAGGGTGGGGGACCCTTGTCAAATATGACTTATTCCGCTCACTTTTTGAAGACCATGAACTCCGTGGACCCAAAACCCAATCCCCACAACGCTCCAAGACGAAGCATAAACACCGACACCTTGTGCGCAAATGGTTTAACGGTTAGGGTTTCTAGGACATTTTGATTTAGGGCAGAAAACCAACAAAACAGTCTTAAAAAGCAAACCCCTCGTTCAAACCCTGACCGCTGCTCCCTAGACGCCCCCCCCCCCTTCCCCTTCCCAAAGCCGCGTGACGCCAATACGCGTGGAAGAGGTCGCCGACGCCGTGCAGCTGACCATCTCGGAGCCTCCAAAGCAGGTTTAAAGTTCCTTACCCAGACCCTCGGGAGTATCCAAAAAGTAGATCCCTTAATGGGGGCTCCTATAAAGTAATTCTCGAGTACTGACAGGGGGCTTAAACCCCGACAAGAACAACAAAACAGTGTTCCCGACAACCAAACAACCCAACCCCGACAAGAAAGGCCAAACACAACGCCTGACAAGAAAGGCCAAACACAACGCCTGACAAGAAAGGCCACAACAGAACGCCGGACACGAAAGCAAGCCAGCAGAAGCCCTGAAGCAAGGTTTTTCCAAGAACTCGTCAGCAGGCAACCAGAGAGCACACCGTTTTTTCTGATTCTGCTGCCAGGGCTTGCGCAACGGAATCCCATTAAGCACGCGGTCGCCCCGACATCGGCAGCCCAAACCGTGGACCTACCAAATCTAGTTTGGAATTTGTGATTCAGAAAAGTGGCCTCTTGCTGATGGGAAACCTTATTACTTACGATGCCAGTAATGTCCTTGAGCTGGTCCAGGCCAACCTGCACAAGCAGGCAGACATGTCAAGTGCAAGGAAAGACCCGAGGCCAGGCACCTCGCCGGAGTCGTCGCGTGGCTTCTGCCGTCCGGAAGACTGGGACTTGCTCGGGATGCCAGCCTGGCTAAGCAGACAGACAAGTGAAGTGCATGGCTGATAGTCGAGGCAAGGCACCTCGCTGCAGTCCAGCTTCCGCTTTGTCGAAGCCTCCTTGTGCTTAGCCTGCGTTTGGCTCAGCATCGTCGCAGCGAGCTGGCTCTCCTTTTTGGAGGAAGAGCTCTCCAGAGGAATCTGGAACAGCGTGGCCCCTGTCGTGCCACATTCTTTCTGTGGCGCCTGGTTCACCTCAGCCGGGATGTATCCCCGGCTCGTCCAAAAGGACATCGGTCTCCAAGGTTTCTTGAGGAGATGCTGTTCTTTGGCACGAATGACGAGCGTGATCTGGTCGAGGATCCTTGACCTTCGTGAAAGCCAGCGGACCCGCAGCCCCAGCTTCTGCCCTGGCAGCGGCCACGCTGCAGAAGAACTGAGCAATGTGTTCATCGCTCAGCATCAGGTCGCTGCGCAGTGCAGTGAGACTCAGGTCGTGGACCCTGAGTCCAGCACAGACATTCCAGCAACTCCTTCAGCTTTTCTCTCCTTTCTTGTTCGGCGCAGCCGGACTTTCGTCGTACAGCTGTCGCAGGCAATGCTGGCAGCGAAAACCCTCATGCTTCTGCAAGGCCTTCGTCGGCACAACACTGGATGGATTCGCAGAGACCTAGCGAAGGTGGACACTGAGTCTGTAATTCCTTCCAAGAAAGGCAATTGTGAGAAGTCAAGCTGCCTTCGGTGTGAAAACGACCGTGGCGTCTGCTGGCAAGGCCTGCGGTGTGGAATCCAGGTCCTGCCACAGACACAGGATCCAGTGAAACTGCTCAGCATGGAAATGAGCAGTGTGGATGCTTTGATTTTCCTGTGCAGGGTTTGCGGTTGATATACATACGTTGAGTCGGGCTGAGGCGCGTACCATATCTCCATGCTCGGCACAGCTCATGACGAAGTCCTCGCATCTAGAGGGGCCTTGGACAGAGCAAGAGTGCGCAGATGGCAAAGAAATTATAATCTGAGCTGAAGGCTGAGGCCTCGGAACTTGGCATAGTGCTCCGCCAAGGTCCTACTGCGAGTGCTTTTAAAAAATCTCCACGCGCAACACCAGGGAGCCTGAGCGGCTGGTGAGTCCGCATTCTGAACTTCTGCGGACGGTGGCTGCCTCCATAGCAACGCAACATGTGGACCGGCATGCATGGAGTCTGCCTCTGTCAGGTTTTGTGTTCTGAGGAACCGCGCCGTCGGATGCCACTGCCGTAACCAGGGTTAGGCCTTCCTGTCACTTTAGACAACAACCGCGAAGTCAATGGGTTGCCGTTGCCCGCCGTCTCAGGTGCATCAGGAGCACGAGGGGAAGTAAAACCAGGTCGAGGTTCGAGAGCCCGCTCCTGCTGAGACGGGAAGCTTGAAAGCATGAAGAGCACAGGCTGCCTCCACAGAATCATCACTCTACTACGAGATAACGCCCAAACCCCGTCACGCTGATCTTCTCTGTCCGCCTGTGACAAGCAAGCTGGAACCAGAGAAAAGACGGGCTTCTTGGTACACGAATGAAAGCAGCCTGCAGCACAGGGGGTGCCGTAGGGGACTGCACGGGAGCACGTTCCATGAGCTCGCGCCTGTGCAATCTTTAAACTGTTGCATTCTCGGTCGAAACGATTGCCCTGCCTGCAGTAAAACAAAGTAGCTCCTTCCGAAGAGACGCGCTCTACTGCGCGAGTCTTCTCCGCAGGAACCTGCAAGCAAGCAAAGCATAGCGTACATCCCAGTCCAAGAATCTGAGAACCGCGCTGCAGTGGAGGCACCTCGCGTCACCTCGACACGAGTTGGAACAGAATACATCAACAAACCCGGTGACTCGCACACCCGAGCCTCCAACTCGTGCTCCCAATCGCAAGCGCTCAACTTCACGCGACCTGCGTCAAAGGCAGAAGCTGGCGGAAGACAGACGAGCAGAAGTACCGCCAGCGCATCTGGCCTTCAAGCACATGAAGGGATGTTCCGGGATGTTCCGGGATGTGCCGCAAAGGCTGGGACATGCCATGCCCTTAGATGCTGTCGACACCTCACAGGCTCCCAGAAAAGGGTCGTTTTAGGGACTGTTGTTCTGTGCACGGAGGCATGTGCCGGGATGTGCCGGGATGTGCCGAGTCCGGGGGGGTGTGGCATGCCTGCAAAGCTCCTGGGAGGCTTTGGGAGGCACCTCCAAGGTGCGCAGAAGAAGGCTTGTATTTGGGGCTGTTTGTCTTTCCAAAGGGATGTTCCGGGATGTGCCGGGATGTGCCGGGATGTGCCGCAAAGGCTGGGACATGCCATGCCCTTAGATGCTGTCGACACCTCACAAGCTCCCAGAGAAGGGTCGTTTTAGGGACTGTTGTTCTGTGCACGGAGGCATGTGCCGGGATGTGCCGAGTCCGGGGGGGTGTGGCATGCCTGCAAAGCTCCTGAGAGGCTTTGGGAGGCACCTCCAAGGTGCGCAGAAGAAGGGTTGTATTTGGGGCTGTTTGTCTTTCCAAAGAGATGTTCCGGGATGTTCCGGGATGTGCCGGGATGTGCCGCAAAGGCTGGGACATGCCATGCCCTTAGATGCTGTCGACACCTCACAGGCTCCCAGAAAAGGGTCGTTTTAGGGACTGTTGTTCTGTGCACGGAGGCATGTGCCGGGATGTGCCGGGATGTGCCGGGGGGGTGTGGCATGCCTGCAAAGCTCCTGAGAGGCTTTGGGAGGCACCTCCAAGGTGCGCAGAAGAAGGGTTGTATTTGGGGCTGTTTGTCTTTCCAAAGGGATGTTCCGGGATGTGGGATGTGGGGATGTGCCGCAAAGGCTGGGACATGCCATGCCCTTAGATGCTGTCGACACCTCACAGGCTCCCAGAAAAGGGTCGTTTTAGGGACTGTTGTTCTGTGCACGGAGGCATGTGCCGGGATGTGCCGGGATGTGCCGAGTCCGGGGGGGTGTGGCATGCCTGCAAAGCTCCTGAGAGGCTTTGGGAGGCACCTCCAAGGTGCGCAGAAGAAGGGTTGTATTTGGGGCTGTTTGTCTTTCCAAAGGGATGTTCCGGGATGTGCCGGGATGTGCCGCAAATGCTGGGACATGCCATGCCCTTAGATGCTGTCGACACCTCACAGGCTCCCAGAAAAGGGTCGTTTTAGGGACTGTTGTTCTGTGCACGGAGGCATGTGCCGGGATGTGCCGGGATGTGCCGAGTCCGGGGGGGTGTGGCATGCCTGCAAAGCTCCTGAGAGGCTTTGGGAGGCACCTCCAAGGTGCGCAGAAGAAGGGTTGTATTTGGGGCTGTTTGTCTTTCCAAAGGGATGTTCCGGGATGTGCCGGGATGTGCCGGGATGTGCCGCAAAGGCTGGGACATGCCATGCCCTTAGATGCTGTCGACACCTCACAGGCTCCCAGAAAAGGGTCGTTTTAGGGACTGTTGTTCTGTGCACGGAGGCATGTGCCGGGATGTGCCGGGATGTGCCGGTCCGGGGGGGTTGTGGCATGCCTGCAAAGCTCCTGAGAGGCTTTGGGAGGCACCTCCAAGGTGCGCAGAAGAAGGGTTGTATTTGGGGCTGTTTGTCTTTCCAAAGGATGTTCCGGGATGGCCGGATGTGCTTGAAAATTGCCGGGGACATGCCATGCCCTTAGATGCTGTCGACACCTTCACAGGCTCCAGAAAAGGTTTCGTTTAGGGAAATGTGTTTCTGGCATCGGAGGCATGTGCCGGGATGTTGTGGCATGCCTCAAAGCTCCTGAGAGGCTTTGGGAGGCACTCCAAGGTGCGCAGAAGAGGGTTGTATTTGGGGCTGTTGTCTTTCCAAAGGGCTGTTCGGGATGTGCGGGATGTGCCGGCAAAGGATGGGCATGCCGCCTCACAGGCTCCCAGAAAAGGGTCGTTTTAGGGACTGTTGTTCTGTGCACGGAGGCATGTGCCGGGATGTGCCGGGATGTGCCGGGATGTGCCGGGGGGGTGTGGCATGCCTGCAAAGCTCCTGAGAGGCTTTGGGAGGCACCTCCAAGGTGCGCAGAAGAAGGGTTGTATTTGGGGCTGTTTGTCTTTCCAAAGGGATGTTCCGGGATGTGCCGGGATGTGCCGCAAAGGCTGGGACATGCCATGCCCTTAGATGCTGTCGACACCTCACAGGCTCCCAGAAAAGGGTCGTTTTAGGGACTGTTGTTCTGTGCACGGAGGCATGTGCCGGGATGTGCCGGGATGTGCGGGATGTGCCGAGTCCGGGGGGGTGTGGCATGCCTGCAAAGCTCCTGAGAGGCTTTGGGAGGCACCTCCAAGGTGCGCAGAAGAAGGGTTGTATTTGGGGCTGTTTGTCTTTCCAAAGGGATGTTGTGCCGGGATGTGCCGCAAAGGCTGGGACATGCCATGCCCTTAGATGCTGTCGACACCTCACAGGCTCCCAGAAAAGGGTCGTTTTAGGGACTGTTGTTCTGTGCACGGAGGCATGTGCCGGGATGTGCCGGGATGTGCCGAGTCCGGGGGGGTGTGGCATGCCTGCAAAGCTCCTGAGAGGCTTTGGGAGGCACCTCCAAGGTGCGCAGAAGAAGGGTTGTATTTGGGGCTGTTTGTCTTTCCAAAGGGATGTTCCGGGATGTGCCGGGATGTGCCGGGATGTGCCGCAAAGGCTGGGACATGCCATGCCCTTAGATGCTGTCGACACCTCACAGGCTCCCAGAAAAGGGTCGTTTTAGGGACTGTTGTTCTGTGCACGGAGGCATGTGCCGGGATGTGCCGGGATGTGCCGGGATGTGCCGGGGGGGTGTGGCATGCCTGCAAAGCTCCTGAGAGGCTTTGGGAGGCACCTCCAAGGTGCGCAGAAGAAGGGTTGTATTTGGGGCTGTTTGTCTTTCCAAAGGGATGTTCCGGGATGTGCCGGGATGTGCCGGGATGTGCCGCAAAGGCTGGGACATGCCATGCCCTTAGATGCTGTCGACACCTCACAGGCTCCCAGAAAAGGGTCGTTTTAGGGACTGTTGTTCTGTGCACGGAGGCATGTGCCGGGATGTGCCGGGATGTGCCGAGTCCGGGGGGGTGTGGCATGCCTGCAAAGCTCCTGAGAGGCTTTGGGAGGCACCTCCAAGGTGCGCAGAAGAAGGGTTGTATTTGGGGCTGTTTGTCTTCCAAAGGGATGTTCCGGGATGTGCCGGGATGTGCCGGGATGTGCCGCAAAGGCTGGGACATGCCATGCCCTTAGATGCTGTCGACACCTCACAGGCTCCCAGAAAAGGGTCGTTTTAGGGACTGTTGTTCTGTGCACGGAGGCATAGGGTTTAGGGCTTCATGGAGGGTGGAGCGCTGCAAGACATAGTACAACGGAAAGACTAATAAATATTTAAATAAATATAATATATATATATAGTGTACATTGTAAGATATAAGAGATATGTGACAGCACAACCTCTCGCGGAGCCATAGATTTGCCTGTCGGTGCGCGGGCGTTTCTTGTCGCTACAACCGAAATGCTTGTCGGACATAAGACCCTCTCTCAGTACTCTTGGTAGTATAGGGCCCCCTCTTTATCCGGGTGCAGTACTATGGAGCAGTTTATAAGGGCCTCAAGGGTTTCGAGTTCAGGGCTTAGAGGTTTAGGGTTTAGGGGTTTAGGGTGTTAGAGTTTAAGGCCTGCTTGGAGGGAGGTTCATGGGCAATTGTAATTGGTGTTATAAGTAGGGTAACCATAATTCTAAGTGATTTTAGGGTACTTAGAACCCGATTACCCATGAACCTGCAAGTAATCACGATAATCGGACTTAGGGCTTCGTTTTCGGAGCCCTTACACGACTTGTACCTGGAGGTTCATGCATCGTCAAAAGTGGGGTTGAGCAAGGTAGCTATGGTTATAATGATCATAGACCATATTCGGGGACTTATACCAGCCCCTATCACTACCCGTGAACCTCCAAGTAGTCAGAGACTACGGTGTGGGGTTTAGGTTCTACTTTTAGGGTCAGGTTTAGGAAATCATGTTATTACTGTTAACAGTAGTTCGATGTTAATATTGGTGACTGAAGGGGCCTTGATCACTAGGCTATGGTTTGGGGTTTGCATAGGGGCCTCGTGAAAAGTTCTTGTCGGCTGTTCTAGAGGGTTGTAGAATTTGGGATATTCATTTGGGTTCTTAACATTCTGAATATATAGTAATGGTGTAAATTGTAGTACGGCATGTTTAACGACAACAAGCCGGTACTTTTCTCGACTTTTCCAACCCGTATAGTATGAGTCGAACCTGATGTTCAGTGCCGAGTGCTTAGTGTTGGGGCCTGGGAAACCCGGAACTCAAACCCTAGCACAAGCTGAAAGGAACATATGAGACCCAAACCCAAAAACCTTTAAACCCTGAGCCGTTAAACCCTGAGCAATCCAAACCCTAAACACTTAAACCCTAAACGCACTAGACAAAGCTGCACAGGTGTGGGGCTTAGGGCCTAGGTATTTTAGGGTTTATGTTTTGAGTGCAAGGATTTAGGGCCTATAGGGGTTCAAAGATTTTTCGGGGTACAGGCAGGGCGCCTGCATCCATCCAGGAGTTGTGTCCTCCATTTCTCCTGTCGTGTGGAATGGCCCAACACGCCTCTGCCTGAATTGGGACCTTGAACCTCGCACCACACCTCGAACTCCCACAATTTCTAAATTTTTGAATGTTGACATCCACCCAGATTTCCAACATCAGGGAGGCCGCTGCCTCACAACATCGCGCCATTACAAGAGCAATTGAACAAGTAGAACAGAGTCGAAGGCGTATATTACAGCAGAGTAAAAAGAAGGTGCTCGAAGAAACCGTGTTGCGAATTACTCAAGCTTCCATCTTTAAGCTTAAAACCCAAGACTTAGGACCCTATAATCCTTCAGCTCGCTCAAAAACCAGGGGTAAATGGCTTTTGAAACGCCTCCTCTCACACGGTCCTAGACTTAGGCGTTTTGTGGGGCCTCGTTTGGGCCTTGGGTGGGTTTGAATGCTTTGGGCTCTATTCCCTACTTGGGAGGTCGGGGGACTTAGTAAGTAGGTAGTAAGTAGACTTATAAGTACCTTAAAAGGGACCCTAATTGGGGTTATGGTACTTATAAGTCCCTGAGTCACCCGACCCTCCAAGTAATCCCTCGACTCCAACATCCGAAACTTTAAGTCCTTAGCTATGCGCTCGGGCGCCTGTAGAGGCAAAATTAGTTAATTATGATACTTTCAATATTCCATATCCCTCGGAGCTTTCTTATAAAATAGATGTGAAACATGATTCGCCTGATTGCCTTCAGAACAAAAACGAGCATGACACTTTCAATAAACCCTTGGAGCCTTGATTCCCAAGAACACTAAACTGAGTTCTTGTGCAGGAACTTAACTTATGCTACCCTGACAGGGACCTATCGTAAACAATGTGGTTTCCTTGTTATGCTAACTTAAAACTAAAATCTAATACCCTCAAAGGAGCCTTATAGATCCCTTATGTGCACCCTGATGTTCGAAAGTTCCGTATTATGGCAACTTACATTAAACTCCTAAACAAAACCCAGACTACAGTTCAGGCCCAGGGCATCCTGCAATGGCTTCCGCAGCTCTACCGGCTGCGCCAGCTCGGATGGGGAGCCTTCACCTGGCGGCTTTCTTTTGGTATTCCGGGGTACTTGAAGGTTCGGTAATCCTACAGCCCCTCTTGGAAGATATGAAAAGTTGTAAGGGTTCCTGTGAAGGTCCCTTGACCGGGCTTTATAGGGGTTTAGGGCTTAGGGCCTACTTGGAGGCTCATGAATGGGTAGTTATGAGTGGAGTTATAAGTGTGGTGACCATACTTACCCCCCATATTAACGGACTTGTAGTTCGACTTATAACTACTCATGAGCCTCCAAGTAAACCTACTAAGGGGCCTTTGATAGAAGTACCCGACTTTCTGAATCTCGTGGGTTTAGAGTTCGGCATGCACGGTCGTGTTCGGAAGCTGCCAAGAAACCTTGCAGATTTACATGTCCCAAACTCTATTGTGAAGCTTTCACCGACAGACATGCATGATGTTCTGACTCTGTTTGTTGGGTAGCTGCAAGATGGGGACTATATCAGGACATATCCAAACCATCCTAAGGATGCGGGGGCACGGCATGTTTGAACCATACAGCGTAGTCCAAAGAACCCGGTCAGGCTAGACGACAGTCTCAAGAGGATCCACTACTGCAGGGTGCTTCGGAGGAGTACCCTTAAGTAATCTACTTTGCGGATCGTCTATCTCTATACCCCAGAGGCCCCATAGTAGTTCCTTTTTGGGATTACCTTAAGGATTCTATATATGAACCCCCAAAAAAGAAATACTTTGGGGCCTTCGGGTATAACCCTTTAAAGCCTGAACCGGGTTGTGATCGATGATGCCAAGCGGCCTGCATCGCTTTCCGCGCTGTGCTCGGACTCTTCCATGGCACTTCGCACGGCCAATTCTACTGAGATTTGACCCTAATCTGCAAAGCTTGCTATCGAATCCCTATCACCGACCCTTAACCCTACCCCTTAAAATTTTTTTAATAAACCCTAGCCCTAAACCCTCAAAAAGAACTCCCTGAAACCACAAAGGACCTGAGCCCCTAAAATCAGCAAACATAACCTTCGAAGGTGCCCCAAACTGAACCCAAATCCCGGCGCCCAGAATTTCGTCATCTCTCAAAGACTATCCCAAGGGCTTCAGTTACCTAAATGGTAGGTTACTAACCATATATTATGTACCCAATAACCTACTATTTCGGTAACTGGAGCCTTATAGGGCTATATGAAGGCCATATTCATAAGTACAATACGTAGCGCGGTCGGTTCTGTTAATGCCATGATTATATAGTGAGGAGAGTAGTACTGCTTGTTCAGGCTGCTGTATAGACTACCATACGCGTTTATTAGCGGATTTGAGGCTTTCATGGTACAGGCCTACGAATGAACATGCCCTGTTTTCCCGACGGAGGTTTGTTTTTCTGACTTCGGGGTTTCGGGATTTAGTGGCTTCGGTACGCGGCACGTAAAACGTGCGTTCTGGAAGGCAGTTCGGAACGTGCTCCCGGAACGAGTTGACAACTAGACTACGCAAAGAGGACATTGCTTCCTTCAGAACGAGAAACGTGAGAACGTATCATGTTACTCGGAACGTGAGACGTGAGAAGAAAGTAGTGGGCCTGTTGGGGGTTGCCCATGCCGTCGGAAGGACAAACAAATACACGGAGGGTGGGCGGGGACCCGGATCTCGAAATTCGGGGTTCTAAAACTGCGACAGAGCCCGCGAAATCACCGAAACCGAAAAATCAGTCGTCTGAACTGCTGTATGACGGCACCCTGTCGCGTTTGAGTACTTTGCTGTTCGCTTGGCGTCTGTCACATCGATTCTTCGACAGTTGGAACGTCTGGTGCTTCAGAACCATATGCTCCCCAAACCTTGTACACTACATCCTGAACCCCGCAAATGTCAAACCGTTCGGGCTTTAATAGGTTTCAGGGGTCCGCTTGCCGTCGCCAACATAGAGCGACGACTGTACTTGGAGGGTCGGGGGACTTAGTAACTGGCTACTTTATAGACTTATTAGTACCATACCCCCAATTAGAGCCCCTTTTAGGGTACTTATAAGTCTACTTGCTACCTACTTACTAAGTCCCCCGACCCTCCAAGTACATGCAGTGTTGCAGGTTGAAAGATAATTATCTATAGTGTTAGGATCCTATAATAGAGGTTTTGGTTAACCAAAAAAAGGAACTACAATGGAGACTGGTTCGTGTGCGGCAGGAGTGATTGAGGAAACAATTCAAACCATCGGCAGAAAGAGCGAAAGCCGTGAAGATAGATGGCCCGGTCCTACACCCCGACACTTTAAAATACATACCTGCCCAGCATTCCAAAAGAAAACCCATACACCTTCAGAATCACAACAAAACTACATAGCGGAACTCGACAGATTCGAGTGCGGCATTGGGGGGTGAGGGATCAAAAAAAATTAAATAAGGATCAAAAAAAATTAAATGGAAAGATCAAAAAAAATTAAATCACTCAAAATACAGCAATTCCTGGGGCAGAGGCATCAAAAAAAATTAAAATAAGGATCAAAAAAATTTAAATCACTTAAAATACAGCAATTCCTGAATTTTTCCCAGGGAAAACACTGTTTTCCTAGGGATTTTCTTTTGTTTCCTTAGGATCTGTTTGGTTTTTCCTCTGGAAAACACGATATTCCTGCGGATTCCGTGGTATTTCCCTCAGTTTTCCTTGATTTTTCGTAGGAAAAAGCTTATTTTCCTATTACCTATGGCGTTCGGTTCATTTCTTCAGGTTTTCAGAAACACAACATATGGTTGTTCCTCGGGAAAATCAAATTGTCCTTAAGATTTCCTGTTGTAGATGTTGCTGGTATTCCGCTTCATCATCTATCTTAGACACGCCCCTCATTTGGCGATTCTTTCTGGTTCAGCATGTATCTACAAGGGCGGAGACGCCCTCAATTGCTGGGTTTCAAAAAAAGAAGATGCTTCAAAGCAACCCTGCACGGCTTAAAACAGCGGGGGGGTTGGGGGGGGCGCAGCCCCCCCCATTTGCAGAGACAACGTTCACATGATGGGCTTCGAGAACACTCTTTGAATCAAGCTTGCACGTCTCGAAAAGCGCGGCGGCGGGTGTTTTGTTCTTCCGTGCCTGTTCGTGTCTCTTCTTCCGTTAGCATTCTAACCTAATATATATAACATAGTAAACCAGAAGAACGACATAAGATGGTTCGACAACACAAAAATGGTGTGACATTTTCTGACATAACAGAACCTTGCTTCTTATAGCATATAATGGCATACTAAAAATACAACAATACAATATAACAGAAGATGACATAGAACAAAACAACATCTTAGTTTATAGTGTAGTACATTGTAACATAGTACAATACAGTCTGCATATTTACAACATAATCTGTAGTATATTTTATAACATTAGGTTACATTATGTTATATTATGTTACGGTACATTACGATATTATGGTAAATTCGATTGGGCTATGTAGTATCCTGTTGCTTGTATCTTTGTTTCTGTGATTCTTTCATATTCTTTCTCTTTCGTCTTTTCCAACTTTGCTTTTTATTCTGGACTTATTTCTTTCTTTCGCTCGTTCATTTCTTTTCTTTCTTTCTGTTGTTCTTTCTTTGTTCATCTCATACTCCCTTCCTTTCTTTCTTGCTTTCTTTCTGGTTTGATTTATTTCGTTCTTTCTTTGGTTCGTTCTTTCTTTCGTTCTTGCTTTCGTTCTTTCTTTCGTTTTTGCTTTCGTTCTTTCGTTCTCTCTCTCGTTCTATCTTTCTTTCTTTCTGTTTTCCTTTCTTTCGTCCTCTTTAGATACAGCAATTTTTGAATTTTTCCCAGGGGAAACACTGTTTTCATACGGATTCGTTTTCATTTCCTGCGGATTTGCTTGGTTTTTGCTCGGGAAAACACGATTTTCCTAGGGATTTGCTGTCGTTCTTCCTCTTGTTTTTGCTTTCGTTCTTTCGTTCTCTCTCTCGTTCTTTCTTTCTTTCTGTCTTTCTTTCTTGCTTTTTAGATACAGCAATTCTTGAATTTTTCCAAGGGATAACACTGCTTTCCTAGGGATTTTCTTTCGTTTCCTAAGGATTTGCTTGGTTTATCCTGTGGAAAACACGATTTTCCTACGGATTCCGTTGTATTTCTCTAAGTTTCCTTGGTTTTTCCTAGGAAAAAGCCTATTTTCCTATTACCTACGGCGTTCGTGTCATTTCTTCAGGTTTTCCGAAGGAAAACATACGTTACCTAGCTTATTCCTCGGGAAAATCAAATTTTCCTTACAATCTCGCATTTAGGACGGATTTCGTGGTGTAGTTGTTGCTAGTAGTGTTGTTGTTGGCGTTGTGGTTGTAGGTGTAGTATGTTGTAGTTTTTATAGCTTTCTTTATTTACTTAGTTCTATATTGTTTGTTTTCTTTCTTTACTTATAGCTTTCTTTATTTACTTATTTCTCTATTTCTTGCATGGCTCTCTTTCTTTGTTTATTTCTTTGAAGCGATAGTCTTACGTATCGTTCTTCTTTATTTTCCGCGTCTTTCTTGTTCCTTTAACTATGTCTGTTTTTCTTTATTAATTTATGGCCTTCCGTCTTCCTTTATTTCTCTGTTTTTGTTCTTTGGTTATTTCTTCATTGCTTGTTTTGTTTTTGTTTCTAACTCTCTTTGGTTCTTTCCTTGTGTGTTCTTTTTCTTTCCTTATAGCTTTCTTTATTTACTTAGTTATCTATTTTGTTTTCTTTCTTTACTTCTAGCTTTCTTTATTTACTTATTTCTCTATTTATTGCATGGCTTTCTTTCTTTCTTTATTTCTTTCTTTCTTTCTTTTGTTCTTTATTTCTTTCGTTGTTTCTCTATTTCTTTATTTCGTTCTTTCTTTCTTTCTTCCTTGCTTTCTTTCTTCCTTCCTTTCTTTCTTTCGTTCTTTCTTTCTTTCCTTCTCTCTCTCTCTCTGTCTTTCTTTCCTTCCTTTTTCCCCTTCCTGTCGCGGATACCCGTTTAGTTTTTTTTTGATCCTTATTTAAGTTTTTTTTGATCCTTATTTAATTTTTTTTTGATCCTTATTTAATTTTTTTTTAACCCCTATCCCGCATTGGGCATCTAAAGTTCAATATTATCTGAACTGTGGTTTGTGAAACTCCCACAACTCTAGCCCCTGCCTGTGCCGCAACAAAACACACCCTAGGGATCTAAGGACTTACATATTAAGGCATTTGGGCCCAAAGACCATACTGTATGAGGCTTTTGGGCTATTCCGATCCCTCGGGACAACCCGCGGTCCAAGAAGTGCGAGCACCGGCTGATGCTGCGAAGCGGCTGGGCCTAGCTGATCTAGGCTGAACGTTTCAAAGGTTTCGGCTGAGTGACTCCACTCCAGGGGCCGAAAGGGTCTATAAACGAGAATTTCAATGGAAGCTCAAGTGGGCGACAGTCTCTGATGGTTTAGGGTTGCCAGTGAGGAAGGAAAGTAGAACCTATGTCAATGGAAGCTCAAGTGGTCGACAGTTCAGGGTGGCCAGTGATTACTGTAAAAGCAGGGCTGTGGAATGTTCGTGGAGCCAGGTACGAGCGTAAAGAAGGTTTTGGCCGAACCCAAATGGCGGCTAGTGGTTGTGCCTGCTGCCTATTCGCCAGCTGAAGTCGCTGGTGTGCACAAGCTAGAAGCTGCAACAGGCGCCACAACACCTAACAATCCTTCAAGTGCAATGCCAATTGTCTACCCATACAACCTTATAGTGGACGTGTAAAGCATGTCAAGGAAGCCTTCAGGAAAATGTATCGTAACTGAACTGGGGCTCTTGTTCTGGGAACAGTGGAGCCGTTAGCTTGGAACCCCCGCCAACTCCTCCGCCCACAACGATGCGATGAACTGGGGCTCTTGTTCTGGGAACAGTGGAGCCGTTAGCTTGGAACCCCGGCCAACTCCTCCGCCCACAACGATGCGACGAGCATTTCAAAGCCTTCAAGCACTAGAGGTTTGTGCCAGTAGCCTCTTGATAATAACAGTACCCCTTTTCCGACTGTCAAATTTTAATTAAGGGATCTTGTAAAACAAAAGGGCAAAAGGGTACTTCTCAGGAATTACAGCAGGAGTTTCGGGCTGCTTGGGCTTGGGGATTATCAGGTTTTGGGGCTCAAAGTTCCTTGAAGGGTTCTGTAACTGATTCCACACGGGCTTTAGGGCTTAAAGGTGTTTAGGGTTCTTTTGAGACGGTGGGTTTTTGGGGTTCAGGTAGGGCTTAGGATTATATGGCTTTCCGGTTTAGGGCCTGGGGGAGTGCAGCACGGGTTAGCAGTTCGGTGTCTTACGACTAGGGCTTGGGGTCTTGGGGTGCAGCCTTTTGCGGCTTGTGCATGCGGCGGAATCGATAATGCAGGATCCTGAGCAGCACGGGCACGAAGGGCGGACGATCACGCCCTGATCGTCCACATAGAGCTTGTGCCACTTTGCCCGGCCGTGGCACGAGCCAGTGTGCTCGTCCATGGTTGTTCAGCTGTCTGTGCTGCGCCCTGCGAGGTATCAGATGTGCGCGGCGCCGGATCCGCTTTCGGGGCTCGTGCGTACAAAGGTAACTGGCACAAAAGGAGAAATAGTCGAAATCGGATCAATATATGGAAGGTGACGGTCTCGCTGTCCTTGACATCCTCGATATAGTTGCACGTCTCGACGCGAACAAAGCGGCCCTTTGGTCTTGCGAGAGTTCACTGAACGCTCGAGCAAGATCGCTAACATAGAGCGCTTTCCGCCCATTGCAGCGATGCCCCTCGGTCGCCTTCTGGATGCTCTTCTTTTTAGACTTCGATGGAAAGAGGTCCGTTGAACAGACCGCCGGATTATGCTGGACACGCAAGGTGACAACTACAGGGGAAAGAAACCTTTCATGAGATTTATGAAGGTTCTATAAGGGGGGGTTAGGGATCATCGGACTTGACAATCAAGGGTTATGGGATTTAGGTTCCTGGTTGGGGGATGCATGGGACTGAGTAAGCGAGGGTTCTAAAACATCCATCCTATGGGGTTTCTACAAGGGTACTATACGGGTTCTATGGCATTGTAAGGATTAAGGGACTTGGTAAGTAAGGTAAAAATTACGTTACTTGGGGCTATAAGTATTTATATCTACAGTTGCTGCCTGATTCCTAACCTTAGTTGCTAAGCCGCACGATCCTTCAATTGCCAGGTCGTGAAGCAGAAGAGTGGACACTATCCTGGATACGTAGCAACAACCCCTCTGTCAGCCTTAGCGTATGCAGTAAATGTAGGATTAACCTTCTCTTGGGCGTACCTTCCACCTAAACCTCTACAGAAAGGAAAAATAGTGGGCCCAACACCTATGGAAGGTGATGATTCTTCCTACTTACAGGGACCACATAGTTCCGAATGCTTCAGATCCTTGTCTCAACCCGACCCGTAGTGCTGAGGTCATAAGCCCCCCAAAATGTAAACTTCTATTGCTGTAGGGGACAATCTTATCCGACAAAGGGCGCCCATTGAGATACTCAGTTGTGTTACACGGACTTCAAATCCTGAGCATTCCAGCCCTCAACATCGTACCGGGACAAAACCAAACTCCTGGCAGAGCCTTGAAGCAACGGCTGAGGCTCTTCCCAGGCCTCTGGGTCTTCGCTTGCAGACTGAATCTTGTTTCTGGGAGGGACGTGTAGCGATGTGGGGGAGTGTAATGTTGCGTTGCACCGACTGAAAACACAACACACACAAGATAGGATTAATATTAGTATGACCTACAAAGTACCAGGGCTTTTTGTTGATCAGCTTCTTATGTTTGTGGCACTGATGGTGATCCGCAGAAGGAGTAACTACCACCACCGCCGCCGCCGCCTCCGCTACCACCGCCGCTGCCGCCACAAGCACCACCACCACCACCACGATGACATGACGACGCGATGACTATACAGCAGGTGCTCGTGATGTCACATTCCAACAAGAAGTATGGAAAAGACATGAGAAGAAGAACAGAACCGGTCTGATCATAGGCGGACAGTGCACAGCAATCTAGTTAATGCTCAGAACAGGGCTTGGCGACATTGTCTAGCATAGAAGTGTAGACAGTATAGGGAAGTTCAAGCAATACTTTTGTGTGCACCAATCTTTGTTCAGGCCACTGTAGTATTGCCCGCGTCAAAGCCCCTGACCTCCTACTCCCAAAAGACAAACGCGTTCAGGCCGATCCGCCTCGCAAAGAGATGTCACCTGCGACAGCTCTCCGCGTGCCACCTGGCAAACAAACGTAAACAGACAAACAAAGGGCTTAGACAACCAAAGTCCTCGACCCTGCACCATGATGAGCGTACACTCTCCCGAATACAACCATACATGAGTAGTACATTTCGTAAATCCAACTATTGGGCCCTGTGGACTTTAATTAGGGTATGTTCACCACGGCACCCAGAACCCTTTCAACACATCAACTTCTTTGGTCTTTAAGAACCTTATAAGCAAAGCCCTATGTCAGATCCCAAGGTCCTAACCCGACTCCAAACAGTATGAATAATGGCCCGTCTACCTTAAACTATGAATCAAACGCTTCCGACACCCTACAAGGACCCTGTTCTAATCATTCAGGCCCCAACTGCATACCCTACAACTACAGCCCTATCGTACCCTTCTAGAAGCCTGAAAGGAACCCTGACAACTTGATCTTTTAAAGGAACCCTGAACATTAAAACCTGTTTTCACTTGTTATCTCATGCAGAGTCAACATGGGAGCTTGGGGTTCTCTCTGTTCATGAGGGCCCTGGTGTTAACACTACTGGGTGTTAGGGATTGCGTGGGGTTTGAGGCTGAGGGACTTCTCGGAGAGTAGGATCTACGATAATGCTCTTTCCGTCGCGCACGTCATGTGGGGTGCACAGTCGTGTTCCTTTCATATTATCTGTGTTAAATAAAGACCAAGTATACTATACTGAACTTAGAACCCTAGCAACAATTACAATTCTAGCTGTTTCTTAGGGATTATAATAACCAAAAATTAAAAAATATTTCTAAGGACCCCTAAGAAAGACCAAGTATAGAACAGCTGGGCTCTTCCTTAACCCTCGATAACCTCAATACAATTGTTTGGACTTGCAGACAAGAACTCATAATAAGTTGAACCCTCAAGCTTAGCCTTGTGTTCAGGGCTCAGTGACAGCCCCAGAAGGCTTAATTCTACCTACTCAAACTCTGATGCGCTGAGAATCCTCTCCCTCACTCCAAATTCTGCCATCCGCCCAACTCGGCCTTTCCCGTGGCGGTCAGGGGCAGCGATGCTGTGAGAATGAAGCGCTGGGGGCGCATAGCCCGAGGCACCTGCGGAAGGGTTTAGGCTTTTCAGGGCGCCAACAAATAGAAACTCTAAACCCTAAACCCCAAACCCTAAACCCCTAAACCCTAAACCCCTGAACCCACATACAAACCTCGGGTCCCTAACCTATGACCCTGCCATCTAGAGCTAGAGGAGATCGAAACTGATCAGGAGGGCGAGCTGACTTTCAATCTTAGTTGCTGAGTTCACAAGCCAGGGTCCTTAGGGTTCCTTTAAAGGGTTCTTATAAGGGGTCTACAAGGGGTTACTCTAAGGGCTACTATACCCTTAGTTGCTGAGTTCATAAGCCCCCAAAACTGTACACTTTCAGTTTTATTGTGGGTAATATTCTCACAAGAGTGTAAAGTGTATCCACTCAGCTACTAAGCAATGCTTCGTGAACCATGATTGAACATTGGCTCTCACACGGAATTCGGAACTCTCAGAAGCATACATTTCAACTGGTTCATCTACTGAGGGTCAGAAGGAGTCAATATGGCATGTCCAGGAAGTATCATGGTCTCGACGGATGTGAAGATGATCTAATCCGTACAACAAGAACATGCCGTAGGGTAGAACACCTTTGCGCAGGTGTAGGTATATGTATATGTACATGCATATGTAGATGGACACGTATACGTGTACGTTTTGGTGTACGTATATGTATATGTCTGTACAAACATACTGTACAATGCATATGCCAATGGAATGGGAATCGTGGAAGCTTGGATGTGAGGTCACCATGATGACGTCTTCTACAGGCTTCTACCACTATAATAACTGTACACATGTGCGGACAAAGGGAGAGAGAAGTGCCTTCTTCTCGGATAGATAGCGGAGCACATCGCCTCAATTGACTCAAGTGAAAAAGGCTTGTGGCTCAGGGAAATCGAGTCTATCAGGGTCTAGGTCCACGTTTGTGGCTTATAAGGTTTAGGGGTTACGGGTTTTAGGGTTTAGGGTTCTTCCGGGTTTATAGTTGTTGGTTCAGGGCTCGACTCTTTACCGACTTCCTTGCAGCTACCCGATTTCAGAGTCTGAGAGCATTGAGTCTTCCGACATTCTGGGTTTTCCCAGGTTTAAGGCTGGACAAACCGAAGCCCGATACCCTAAATTCTTAGAAGCTAGGGTCTTCTCAGTATGGTGACGAAGGTCACACCCTAGACTTAGGAGTGCATATCAAACCTTTCCTAAACCGCGCAGTGGCAGGCTCTGATGAAGCCTCATTTCAGCTAATTGGTGACAATACTAGGATTAAACCCAAAGGGTCAAGACGACGTTAGTAGGAGCCATAGGGAAGTTCCTCCATGGACACGACCTCTTTTTGTTATGCCCTTTCTCTATTAAATTAAACCACGGCCACGGCCGCTCAAACAACCACAAACCCTAAACTCCTTAAGAGCACAGTAACCCGCGATATTGCTGCAGAGCCTACAGGTCCTGCAGACCTTGCCGCTGGAGCTCCTTTTTCAACACAAGGATTAATTATTAAGTTCCTACACCCCTAAACCCTCAATCCTAAACCCTAAATGGCTTCGGATCCTCCCCATGGAGTTGGTTAGTTGACTACACTCGAGACCCGTTCAGGGTTTAGGGCTTCGGAAAGTTTAGGCCTTTAGACCCCAAAATCCCTAAAGCCTAACACCTGAACCATCGAAGCCCAATGACAAGGCAGAACTGAGGCCCCGGCAGAGGACTCTGCCTGCCGAAGCACTTCTCATCTCGGCAAACAGCGCAGCACAAGGCCTTGGTCCCAAAGCCTCCACGTAGCTATATAGTATATACTTATATAAAGTACCCATATGGGTGGTTGTCAAAATTAGGATCCCTTTTTGGGTCCTTACAACTAGCCATATACTTAAATATACCCTAAAGTACCCATATAGGAACCCCTTGAAGCCCTAAGTATATACTATATGGGTACATGGAGCCTTGAGGGGGTGAAGCTGCACTCGGATATCGGCTGGCATTCTGAATTCGACTTAGGTTTGAGGGTTTGGGGTTTAGGGTTCTGGGTTTAGGGTTTGAGGGTTTAGGGTTTATGGTTCTGGGTTTAGGGTTTAAGGGTTTCGCGTTGAGGTTCAAGTCTTGGAGTACATGGATCTTCGTGCCCTCTATAAAGGGGCGAGTTCCTTGTAGCACACACGCGTGAATGATTGGAACCCAGTTTTGCAGGTAT